GTAGGAGAACTCATATTGAGATAAAGGTGGGTGACACCCTGGTGTCCAAGTATGGCCCCTCTCATGTTGTACATGCCTGTGTTTGCTTGGTAGATGGGACGAAGGAAAGGTAAGACACTTTGTTTGGAAATGCAACTTGTGTGGCATGGAAGTCATGGCAGACCCAATGGCAACTTGGGTGTGGTCCAAAGGAGGACACACTATGGAAGTTTAACTTTCATTGATCTCAATAGGGAAAAATAGTTTAGTCTTGTAAAGTTTGGTTGGCTTCATCCAAAGTTGGTTTTGTAGAGACTCAAACTGAGTGGAAGGGTAGTGTTGTCACATTAAACTTTCTCAACTTTTGCTCAAGCTTGCAAGAGCTAGCAAATACAAGTTTAGAAGTCGGAGTAGTTAGAGTCGACACAGTTATTACTTACAAGATTATTCACTTCAGTTTGCACATTATTCTTTGATCGCTCCATTCTTTTCTAAGCTTTTTCTATTTCATGTAAGGTAGGGGTCCTATTAAGGGCCAATTATGTACCAATTAGATCTTTTTCCATTTCTAGTTGTAATGGAATCACTCAAGTCTCAATGGGACTTATCACTAGATCTCGAGGCACCTATTCTTGTCCAATGATCTCTCTCTTAGTTGCTTAGAGCTAGTGTAGTTGTGTCAGACTAAGACTTAAGGCTGGCTAGTAACCTCCGCATGGCCTTAAGACTTGGCAAGATTTGGCCAAGTCAGAACAAGGCATTTGCTACGAGGGCATTTGCTGAAGAGGTCTTAAACCATGAGTGCATGAGCCTTTGGCATGACTCGAACCTTGAACCGGGATTTATTCTATAATTTAGGGAATGTAAGTGCTTATAGAATAAATCCCGGAGGAGCAAGAAATGCTCTTGGTCACTTTCTTGTAGAATGTAATGATGGAGTTCTCCATGAACAAAAGAAAGCTTTTGATGCCGTGGGTGAATTGAAGACCAGGGTAAATACTGGTACTAATTAAGGGCTTTCTGGAGGCACACAATGTGTGACAAGCTCAGTAGACTTGCATTGGATCAATCGAAGCTGATAGTCGCCCTCACACACTTGCAAACCCAAACATGGGGATTAGGCTTGCTAATGCAACCCTAACAAAACACCCTGCCTTGAGGCAGAACCCTGACTTGATCATGGTATAGCATGGTTTACCATACTCAACTCAGTCACATGATCAATGGGAGTGATCCCACCACTCTGTGACGGACTACAATCTTCAAGTGGGATTAGGATGGTTCCATCACAACCACCTGGTAAGTGGTTTTGTGGTTAGTGTATAGAATCTGATAAAAAAGGTCTAAGGTTCAAGTCATGCCAAAGGCTTGTGCACCCATGTGGTAATGTTCTTACTAAACAAACAAACTCAGTAGACTTGCATTTGATAGATCAAAGCTGAGAGTCACCCTCATACATTTATAAACCCTAAACTCTAAAGCCCACTAGATAAAAAAGCTTCTTCACCAAGAAGATTTTGTAAGATATTCATCATCTTTTGCTGCAATATCATTTTTATAACTTTTGATAGAGTGATATTTTCCTATTCAAAGTTCATATCAATATTTAAAATTTGTTTAGTGTAAATTACCTTTATAGTAGTCGTTAGTTGAATTTCTTGTTGATGCTGCACATTTCGATAGATATCTTCCTACTCAATATTCATATATATTAATATATAAAATATGCTAGTTTACATCTATTATAGTCTCCAACTGAATTACTTACTCATGATAAACATTTTAATAAATATTTTCCTACAATATCATTTTTATAACTTTTGATAGAGTGATATTTTCCTATTCAAAGTTCATATCAATATTTAAAATTTGTTTAGTGTAAATTACCTTTATAGTAGTCCTTAGTTGAATTTCTTGTTGATGCTGCACATTTCGATAGATATCTTCCTACTCAATATTCATATATATTAATATATAAAATATGCTAGTTTACCTCTATTATAGTCTCCAACTGAATTACTTACTCATGATAAACATTTTAATAAATATTTTCCTACTCAAAATTTTATAAGTATTTCAAAATTTTAATTAATAAGTGAAATATCTATATCATAACTTCCAAGTCAAGTGCTTCAAAATCTTGATGACAATAAAATAAGTCATCTAACAGAGGTTTTAAGATTGCATGTGATTGTGATGGTTGAACCTCATAATTAATTATAGTCCAGTTATTTTTTCTCCTTGTTTTAACATAATAATTTTTGCTTGATGCTTGCAAAAGTTTTCTTTAGTTGCACACAGATAATTACACCAAGTTAAAAAATCCCAATCACTATGTCCTTCATCTCCAACAACAAAATACTATATAGCTGGATTTAAAGAGGATTGTACTAAAATTTGCAAGTATTGTCCTTATCAAATTTTATTTGAAAGTCGTTAATATTTCTTGATTTAACAATCACACCATTGATTAATTTTTTGTATGCATGGTTTTGAATAAAACCATGATATTTGTAATAACTAATAAACCAGTACCTTCCATAAACCTTAGTAGTAAATTGATGAATTGCCTAATCCATCATTTAATTATGAGTATGTATTTTTTTTGGATGAGAGTATAGCTTTTATATTTGCATGGAATACCTCAATTGAACTATTTGTCTCCTTGGTAGCATGAGGGAAATTTTGAGTAGCAACAACCCACATATCTATCAAATATAAATTAAAATAAATTATTAAAATCAAAATATTAATTCACTTATCAACTTTGTCCTTCCATTCATCTTGAAAATACTTGATAAAAGCTACTTCTTTTTGAAAATCCATTTCAAAATATTCAATAAGTTGTTTAATCTCAGCTTGTATAATATTGTTATTGTGAAAAGCTGCGTGAATTAAATAATACATAATATCTCCAAGACATTTTCATATTTCTATCCTGATATCCCAAGATTTCACCTTATGAATAATATGTTTGAGCCAATTCTTCCTTACATGCTAAATACATAATAGAATTTGACAATCAACTGTATCTCTATTAAAAAAAAGTTGCAATAATGATTGATGGTGTTCAAGTAGAGATTAATGCTATAAAGTAATTAATTTGATATGATATAATTTAATCTAGCATGTGTTCTAAAACTCGTTTTTAAAGAGCTATTATCCAATTCTTTATATGTTTTCCTTTCTCACTAAAAGTTAAAACTCATACAATTGAAATACCATTTCCATAATAACAAAAAACAAGCATAGTGTATAATGGGAACCGTAAACTATTAAATATTGTTCACTTAAAAATAAATGAAAATTTTAACTTATAGCGATTAGTTGCAAAAATTGTATCAAGACTCAACAAATTATTATTTGCAAAATCCACCATCTTTTGCAGTTGCTAAGTTGTGTGAATTTCTATGGTAAAACAGGAAAAATACTTTCTCAAGATTTGTGTTCTTCCAAATACATACACTCTATACATCATTCTTATATAGTCAATAAATTGAAAGCAAATACTTTCTATACAGATTGTTGATATCTTACATAGTTAGAAAATCATCTTGACAAGGAGGTTCACGAGCTGATTTATTTCTTCCCACAATTTGTATATGCTTATTATAAATCTGATTTGATATGAAATCCTGCTAGATCATATGAATCACCTAATGTCGAATATTTGCTGGAAGCTTCTAAAAGAATAATGACTTTCCTCCACTTAGTTCAAGTTGACCATGATAAAGAATCCCATTCTTATCACAATGCTCTCTATGATAATACATAATCTGCACATAATCAAGCCATTTGTAAAACTGTTTGACCAAAAAATTGCAAAGGCAACCTTGCTTGTTAGAACTTTGACTTGGTCTATTTCCAAGTCCTGACTTTGGTGTAGATTTAGCAATTGTAGAGGATGTTTCACAAGCATTTTGTTTTCCATATTCACACCAATATCTATGTCAAGAAGTTAGTAATTATATTCTGTTAAGAAAATATACTTGATTAATGATAAAAAGCTTGTGTTTTTGGGTCATTTTAAATCTCCAGATCACAATTTTTGTTGGAAAATCACCAAAAATACACTCTATCACCCCTTCTTCTCACCATTTAAAAACTTATTCACATCCTTCTATAATATATACAACGAAAAATAAATGAAAGTGAAAAAAAGGAGTTATATTTTCATTTGATTTAATCTAAATCATCTGCACAAAAATAATCTTTTTCATGGAATTCTTACACCTCATCAAGCCATAGGGGATCTTGAATGATTTTGAATCAATATGAAGTTGAATTGATTGTTTACCTCTAGAAATTGGGAACAAAGCAAGTGTGAATGGAAACGTTTTTAGGTCAATTATGGCTAGTTGTGCCCACCAGGGTCATAGGCGCCATTGCGTGGGGTTGTGGGCAAGGATTGCCAAGGTACAACTAGGAGTTGAATTTGCAGAAGAAGATTTGTAGAACCCTAAAACGTGGTTTAGCCTTTAACCCACATTAGACTGTATCCGTACTTGTGTGAGGTGGATTGTCAGAGTCTCATCATGAGACTCCAGTTGCTGGGCACTTTGGCATTATGAAAACAGTGGAATTGGTCGGTGGCCTCATCTTTGTCAGTCTATGGAAGAGTTTATCCACACCTGCGACATTTGCGCCTGGTCCGAGTTTCCTCAACACCATCTGTATGGTCTTCTTCAACCACTTCCAGCTCCAACTATGCCCTGGTCTTGCATCTCAATGGACTTTGTGACTGATCTTCCACCAGTTCAAGGAGTTGTTGGTACTCCAAATCTAATGTTGAACTATGAATTTGCCAGATCTTCAAAGTTACATCATTGGCTGAAAGAGGTACGCATGTGAACAGAGCAAAATTCAATTGACCTCCTTACCTTGGTCTAGCTTGGAAGGAACAACATATATGCCCAGCAATTTTAGCACATGGATTTGCTTAAGGCAACGATTGGGGACAATCGTGGCAGCGAACCAAAGTAGCCGCTGAAGCAAGTCACAGTACCTGTCACTGAAGCGAGTTGTACCTGTCAATCATATCCACCGAATTAGGTCAACAAACCTTATGGTCCTGGGCCGCGACTTGGTCCCGATGGCGGCGACAATGGAGGTGGGGAGCTGGTTCAATACCCCTGCTATGTCCAACAAGGATAGAGTGTGGATTCGTGAGTGCTATAGCGACGTCTACACCGACATCAGGGAGCTCGCGAGCGTGGGCAAGCGCTACATCCACATCTCGGGGGACCCCGGAATCGGCAAGTCGTGTTTTCTGTGGTACGTTCTCAGGAGGCTCCTCGACGATGGAGAGACGGCCGTCATAGTAGAGCTCCTCGTAGGAATCACCGTGAATGCTTTCGTCTTCAAGCAGGATGGGAGTTGCGACGCGGAAGATTCACCGGATTACAACCGCCCGGGGGTTTGGCTTCTTACTGATGAGGCATTTGTTGGGCACAGGGCTTGGAACGGAACCACGGTCTTGTTCGCGTCACCCGAGAAAGATAAGTGGATACAAGCAGAAAAGACTATGCAGGAACGCAAGTTCACGACGCTTTACATGCCGCCTTGGTCTGTCGACGAGTTGCAGGCCGTCTATTTTTCAGATCCCGAGAATGAAGGCGAATACATGGAGTTCTGGGCGAAGTATTACGTTGCCGGGCCAATCATAAGGCACTACGTCACGCCTTTGATAAAGGTCCTCAGCGAGAAACTCACGGCCGTCGAGAAAGTTGTGGATGGCGGGGTGCTGAACGCGACATTATTGAAGGCACACGAGATCTTCGTTTCCTGGCCAACTCTCGACTTCACCCGCGTGGACCATTTCTCCTTTGCTTCGGAGTGGGCAGCGGATTGTTTTGCAATCGCATGCTTCAATGGTCAGATCAAGAACTGGATCGCGTCCACTTTATTTTTGGCAGCGAACCGTTCATTGCGGAGTGCAGCTGGAGTTCTGTTCGAACGTGTTGCTCATTATCGACTCTCGATGGGTGGTGACTTTTGTAGCATTGACGATCCGACCAGAAAGCTTCATTTGGAGAAGCGGGAAGTGAAGTATTTCTCCAGTAACAGTCTTGATCTGCAAATACCTGGCCTCTACTACTTACAACCCAGTAGCACGTCATTCCCTGTGATAGACTCGGTGTATCCTCCACTCGTCCTTTTCCAGATCTCTATTGCCACGAAGCAGAGACCAATGAAGAAGTGTGACTACGATGCCTTGTGCTCTTCTTTGATGGCGTTCAGAAACGAGCACCCTGATATTCCGTCGGGCCTGGAAGGTGTGCCGGAGCCGAACCGAGTGCACGCTATTCTAGTGAAGATGGAGGGTGACAATGCAAAGCATTCGCAACGCCTGTGCATGGTGGAAGACGCTCCGGAAGACGCTCCAGCGAATGAAACGGCTCCTCGCCGGTCGGCACGAAAGAGAGCACGTACACAGAGGAGCATTTCCAAGGTCAAGCAAGGGGAGACAGCAGGGGTAATGAAAAAGAGGACGTTCCTGCCTTTCCAGATGACCATTGCTCTCAAGATGGACCATACTGTTCCCGACACGCTTGACTACCCGTCCCTTCAACAGATACACGACATTGTCTGTGCAAGAATGGACGGTGCAGTCTATACTGGAGCACTCAAGTTTGCGGACATTAAAAGAGAAGAGGCGGACTTTGCAAGAGTATTGATGCGCCAAGGTACTTTTCCCTCTCCTAAATTGCGTGGTCTTTTGAATCTAGTTTACTCATCAGGGAAGGGAAGCATCCAGTACGAGGAAGAAATGGACGGGGTTCCCGTTTTTGGCGCATGGATTGAAGCTGTTCGCACCAAAGAAGGCAGTGATTCCGTGGAGAAAACTGTTTTGACTATCCAGTGCACGGCTGGTAAACTAGCTGGACGAGAGCTGACGCTTTTTGTGAACGAGGTAAGCATTCATTCATTCATAAAGTGTGTTTCAGTGAGTAGTTTTTATTTGCAGCGGCTTTTGCCAGACAAGGAGTTTTCTAATCCTTTGGTTTTGAACATGCTGCGCCTCGAGGCAGTTAGTGGCGCAGATGATGCTGCCTACCAGGTCTGCTGGTCGGGTGCAACAGCATCTGTTGTCATTAGATCAAATCGGAGAGCTTCTAGGAAGTTGATGCTGGTATTTCCAGCAGAACAGACAGAAGAAGAAGAAGAAGACTACAAAGAAGAGGACTATATGGAAATCTGATCCTAGTTTACACTTCCGGTGCTAAATCTTTTCCTTGCTTGAAAGCGCGGTTTGTGTTTGTTAAGCTGATCATCCTAATAAATGTTTATTTTCGACTTGTATTAACAAGCGCTCAAAACTACTCTCCCAAGTCCGAAGGTCCCAGTGCACTTCAAGGCGAGGAGCTGCGAGCTGAAGGTCCCAGTGCACTTCAAGGCAAGGAGCTGCGAGCTGCTGTCCGTTCATTGCAAGGCTTCGGCCCATTTTCTAATGTCGTGATGCTGCTTGGCAACTAGGAGGTCATTCCAGCAGACTCTAAGACGATCAAGCACCTTAAGCACGTAAGCTCACTCGACTTCTATGCTCGATCGATAGCTTGTTATGTGTGGAATTCTCGAAACTTATCTCGCCTTCTTTGCTTGCTTACAACAGAGACCAGCTGACATTGTGAGACGGAAGAGAATGTCAGCAACGTGGTTCCCTTACACTTCTATCATTCGGCTCCAAGCCTCGTTAGCAGAAGCAAGTCATAGAGATGCTCAGCCTCAAGACCTGGAAAAGTTGTGCAGTCTCACTTCGATCAGATAAGCTTTCTGCCTCGTTCGTTGGTTTCCAGGCTGATGCAATTCGCATGACAGATGAAATCAGATACCAAAGACGTAGCCTCGCTCGTGAAATTAGCTTTCTGAAAATACTGATTATCATTTTTGTAAAATGTTACTGGTCACCACAAACACGGCTGAGATTGCTTTATGGCAAGAGATCCAATGGCCAGGTCTTTTCTATGCTGGGGTTCTACTGGAAGTCGGAGCGATGCCAAAGAGGAAGGGATTGGATGAATCGGGTGCTACCAAGTGGACGTATTTTGTGTAGTATCTACGTTGTGTATGCTATTATGCTCACATTCCCCTGGAGGTGGAGCTCACCATGGTGGAACCAGTAGACATGGTAATTTTTTTAACAATATATACACTAAAACCTTGAAATCTCTCCACTCCAAAAAAAGCTAGACTAATTTGTTATGTTAGGTTCACCATTTGTTGGGATGAGTGATATCTCCCAACTTCTTTGACATAAGGTTTTCATGCCTTTATCACAAACTTAAGCTCTTTTATATTCCCTAAATGCCTTTTTTTTGCTCCATTCATCAAGAAAGGACTTTTTAGAATCTTCATGACCAAATCTAAACACACACTAAGCAATTCTTCAAATCCATGCCAAAATCTCAAGTTTAAACTCCCAAAATTAAGCAGTAATGATAAGGGAGAATGCAAGAGAAAAACATTTGCACATGGCTTAATTCTTTACCAAATCATGGGTTCTTTAACTCATTGTAAAGAGGAGGAGAAGCCACTTTGACTAAACAAGGCACAGCCAAAATGAATGTGTCTATCACCAGAAATCTCTTCAAAACTGAACAAAATGGAAAAAAGTGGAAAAATAATGGCGAAAACTCTAGATTTATGAGTTTGCACATGCAACCAAGAGCTCTTATTGGTCTCAATGATCCCCCAAACATGAATCTAGCCACTAGAACCTCAAACCCATCATAACAATTATCTAAATCTCTAAAGAAAGTTAAATTAATTTGTCATGTCAGATTTACCATTTGTTGGGAAATGAAACTACTATTAAGCAAACCAAATGTTACTACATACAAGGCGTAGCAATTTATTTATATATAGAGTAATATTTCAAAGTTCAACAACATTTATTTAGTCTTGAATTATATACAAAAGTATAAAACAATTACTAAAATTAATTATTATTTATAACTAATGAAGATTAACTTTATAAGAATTTTATAATTTATAAACTTCTTTAAGCACTTTGTATCATCATGAGCTTATGAGGTCTTTTGGCATAAGCCAAAGAAACACTGTAACTTACAATGCATTGATTGGGTTTTACATCCAGAATGGCAATTGCAAGGGAGCTCTCAAAGTTTCTAGGCTCATGGTATCAAGCTCAATGATCTCAACTACTATCAATGATTAATGCTTGTGCTGGTATGGGGAATTTAAGTCTCTTAGATCATGGGAGACACCAGCAAGCAAGAACACCATAGAAACCCATTAATCTCCATGTGTGTGACTCCATACTAGTGTTCCAGGATCTGTGGATGAACCATCCTGGAACTTGATCCTCTCTTGCTATGCTCATAATGGAAGGAGCAAGGAGTCTTTGGAGATGTTTTGGGAGATGAGGTTGAATGGAACACTATCACCTTTAACATTTTACATCCCAAGTGGCTGTATTTCATCTCAATAGGGCGTGCTATTCCATCCCCTGTAGTAGAGATGATGCTGTGCTGGGGCATATTCTCAAACCCAAAGCATGTCTAATGAAATCGAGTCACCCTATGGCAAGTTGATTGATTTTAATTTTTAGCTCAAAGTTTTATTCTTTTTTGTTTCCAGTGAAGTCTAGTTTATTTTTTGGCTCCTTTTACTAGAGGTAATTCTGTTAATCAATCACATTGATATGTCAAATTTTGATTGTGCTATGGATATTGTTCAGTTGTTGATTATGCTTTGCAGGCAGCAATGCTTAGTTTTCTTAATAGTAGTGTTATTTCTATTTATTAATCCAATTAATCAAATGGAAAATTATAATTATAAACATGTTTATAATTTATAAACACAAGATTAATCTTATTAAATATCAATGATTAGATGGTAGGATAAACTAGAATATACTAGGAATTGTTTGAGAAATTTTATAAATTATAAATGTGTTTATAAGTTACTAGCAAAGACCCCAGCTTCGCTGGGAGATATAGCATACCTAAGATAAATACATCTTCTTTTCAGTGGAGCTAGGAAAAGTAAAGATGGAAAGATGTTGTTATATATACTTTGGAGCAGAACAACATAAGTCTGAAAAAAATAAAAGAGATAGCCATGTCTAACAAGTTAATAGTCATTTACAACTTTTGATGTTACAAGTTAGTCATAGTAACTTTGTAGGTGCATGATGCAAGTGCTAAGAACTTGCATCCACTCTTGCCATATAGAAGAGGGGAAGAATTACTGGCAAAGATACTAGGATTGTCCTTTTCTAAGGCTGATAGGCCATAGTTTATAAAAAATAAAAAAAGGGAAGAGGGGAAAAGGAGGAAATATAGTAGTGTTGCCATTAATTCTCTCTTTGCATCCTCCCCACTGCTAGCAAGTCTTCTAGCAATTTATCCAATGATAATGAGCTTTTGCCATGAGTCTTTGCAGCTAAGTTGATTATGCATAACTTTAAAACCGAAAGAAAGAGTATAATGGTACTTCGGGAATTTATTGTTGCTGCCAAATTTGATAGCAAAAAGTGGATGTTGGTATACTGCTCATTCAAAATTTATGTTTATTTGCCCAACAGGGTCTAAATGCTAATGAGTAACTATATTACTATTATCTTGCTTGGTGGAGTGATGTTATGGAAATATGCTCATTTCCTTCAAAAATTACCAAAAGAAGGTCTTCCTAGGATTGCCTTATCAAAGTACATGGTATAGTACAAAGAAATTACAATAATAATTCATGACATCCTATGGTGCAATAAAGGCTTATTCATTCCTTGGTTTGGGATGGAAAAGAAAAGCATGTAAAAGGGAGTCATGCAACTTTACCATCAGTATGTATGTTAAGTTGGACTTTGTGAGTTAGAAGATGGTGGTGCCCAACTTTGGAGGTAGGGCCTATGTTGTTAACATACTAACCTGGCTTCACACAGCAAAACTTTAACTTCCTTTCCTAGCTGTGAACTGGAAGCCACGTAAAACAAACAATGGTGGGCAGAGGCCAATGATAGCAGCAGCAGTCAGTTGTTTGGCCTTTTCTTTGGTGCCTATACCACCAGCATTGGCTTCACATCCCTCACCTAGTGTGTGCATTTCCAAGCAGTCAGCCCTGTTCATTGCAAGAGGCAATGTGATGGCTCAAGTAGTACATCGCATACCATGTCACTAATAACAACCTACTCACTTAGTGCTGGCCACCTCTAGTAACAATTACCAAGACATTCTTGCTACTGAGCTGATGAGTCATGCTGCGAAGGGCATCCTTCCAAGACCGTGGGAACCTGCCTGCACAGTGAATGAGAATGAAGCTCCCAATTACACCTCTACTTGTAGGCAATTGTGGTAAAGCCTCTGCTATCCAGCTGCTAACTCTAAATGGACACATAAGTTAATAGGGACCCCAACTCCACCGGGAGAAGTAGAGAACATTTCAATTTGAGAAGATGTAGTTGTCCATACTTTGTAATAGAACAATACATCTTTTAAAAATAAAACAACAGAATAATGATTTATTGTGATTCTCTTAGTAATGAGATTTAGTGGTCACTTATGTAATTTTTTTCTTAGTTGAAAATAGGGAGCACAATCTATTTCACTATTGTGATGTACATTTAACACATGACTCTTTAAAAAATGTTTACCAGGAAGCAATGCTCCGAGTCCTAAAACAAATTCCCATAAATATGGAAATTCAACCACTATCATCTTCCAGATCTTATTTGAATTTTTTAAAATGTTGTAACTACTCTTGCTTCATCACGACCAAAACCTAAAACACTTGACAAAGAATGTAGAACACTAAATCACCAACATTTATCCTCTCTAGTTCAAAATTCTTTTGCAAGAAAATGATTAAAACAATAAGGTTTGCCATTGAAATGCACACTTTCCATTTATTTTGTCACCAATTCTTCCACTCCTTGTCACTCGATGGCCAGTGATTGTAAGCCATCAAGAAGCACATGCAAGTAATGCCATCAACTTGGAATCCTTCTCATTACATCCTCCCAAAGTTTTTTCAAGCACATGGAGAGCATCTTCACAAGGTATGAATCTAAATGTCCTATCCAAGTCTGTCTCTATTTGAAAATCCTTCTTAGAAACACTTTTGACATGAGTTGAACATTTTGGATGTGCACAATGTCCTCCTGTCTTAAGAAGCCAAGACAGGATTTTATGCAATGCAACATGCTCAAGGTACTTTGCTTTTGTCATCCAAGCTTTCTTTTCTCCCAAGGTTTAAAATTCTACTCTCTGCTAGGAAGTTTTCCTGACCCCTCCAAGATTCTAATCATGAGACTCAAGTTTCTAATCAACCATTTCCAGAGCATCTTCTCACAGCTATACAGAGCCTCTGCCCTCAGCTATACAGATATTTCCAGAGCCTTTTTGGTTCTTTTTTTTCTTTCTATTCTTGTTTTCATCTCTCATTTTCCAGGCATCTTCATCAATTTGCCTAAAACTCAATGATGATCTTGATCTTGCCGCAAGCAACACTGGTGGGAATGTCACTGCTGGTGGACAACAGCAGCACTGACACGACCTGGAGCGTAGCAATCTCATTCTTTTCATCACTTTCAGAGAGAAGCATAGAGACATCCAACAAGAATGCCAAACCTGGAGTACCTCTATTTCATTCTACCATGAACTATCATGCTGCATAAGCTCCTTGCCATTAAAGCAATTCACAAAAGCTAAGGGTTTCTTTATATTCGACCAGTCATAGCTGTACATGCTATTTCGTCTTAGCGTGATGCTAGAGCCACCTCAAGCTCCTGTTTAAGCTCCAGCAACTTTGGTGTGTTGTAGCTGCCATTCTCCTGGAAAGAAGTAAAATAACATTATCAAACAGGGAAGAGACGCACAAAAACATGATACCATAGGCTGACGATCTAATGATTCCTTCAAAATTATTGAGCTCTTGGGCACATTTGCAGATTCTCCAACCTCTATAAAATGGCTTCCACCAATACTCAGAGCAGGAGACACCTCTGATTGGCTTTTGCATGTCTTCAGTACATGCATCTGACAGCTTCCACCTCAATACAAGTCACAGTCTCAAAAAAAACCAAGGCTATTAATGTTTCTTCTCCATTCAAACACATGAAGACGAGACTCAATCTCTAGGCAGGACAGAAAATGACAAATGGAATCAGAGTAAGGCCAGGAAGGATAATCAAAATAGCATACCTCACATGCAATATACGTCCGTGCTGGCTTATATTGCCTCCCATGTCATTGTTTCCAGATCACAGATGTTGAGGTCATTGAGTAGACACCTATTGGAGTCTTCTCCACCAAACATGACTCCACTAAACAGGATCCGATCAGCGAAACAGACTGGCCCCTCAAACAGCAAATGGTCAATCTCAGGTTCGTGATACAGTATGTCACATGCACCGGAGCTTGTCCATATGTTGGAAAAAGCAACCAAGTGAAAGTCTGTATATCAAAAACATGAACTGGAGATAGAGAGCACTGAAGCGAGACACTGAAATGCATTATATTAACCTGAGACAGAGTCAAGGGTTTCTCAAGTGGCCACCAACAAGTAGCATCTGTTCTTCAGAATCTGAAAACACTCCGGAATATTGTAAGATGAAAGTAAAAAGCTAAAAAAATTACCAGGCTATGACCAGCACAAGGTGGGATCAGTGGCATGGACAAGGACAAAAGGAGACATTGGGAGCTTTTGCTCAACTTTGGACCAGGTGAGTGTTCTTAGATTGAGCACCTATGGCAAAGGTGCAACATCAGTTATTAAAGAGCAAAACACTACATACCTGGACATTGTTCCACCATTTGCTGATGGCAGCAAGGGGGATGGAGGAGAGTTGTTTACAGCAGGGATGTACTCCTCCTGAAGGCTTGGATTTAAATCATTGTCTTGCATAGGCTGAAAGAAAGCTGCAAAGTTTTAGTTCTAACACAAAAACGAAAAAATATAAAGCCATTTCACCAATTTTCTCAGCTTTTCTCTCTGGCGACTTGACTACCAGTCTGGATCTTTTTCCTGCAAAGATAAATAGATGGAAACTCTCAAAAAACATTGAAAATCTTACTTTCAAGGTTCTAAAGAAGAGCGGCATAGCTTCAGTCAATGGCCCACTTCTCCACTGTGAGCGCAAGCTGTGAGAAGCAGCAAATGGCTTGTCTCATCTGGGCACATGAAAACCTTGCTCCAACTAAAGGAAAAGGAAACATTAACACACACACACACACACAGAATAGCTCACAATCTGCCCTATCACCCTAAAAAGTTTCACTTGATTTGAAGTGTCACTAAAATCACATTGAAGCATTGCCACCCCTTTGGCACTTGATCTATGCCATCTATTTGAAGTTTTTGAATTTGAACCGTTAGATTCACCAGATGCCATATGCCAATAACACATTTAAATAAGGGTATGATAAATATAAGATTAATCTAAATGAATAATAACCGTTAGATGGTAAAATATCCTTGAATATCCAAGAATATTCTAAGTATACTCACTACCACCCCATTCCTTTGCTTAAGCAAATTAATAATTACTAAAATTAATTATTATTATAACTATTAAAGATTAACTTTATTAAAGAAAGATGGTCTTGCACATCCCATCAGTGGTCACCTGTTGTGGTACTAGCCAAGAATTTATTATTATAATTCATGGTCAAGTTCTTTTCAATTTAAGCATGACCAGGTTATAACATCATTGCTGAATTCAGCTAACTCACCAAGGGTGTTAAAGTTCCTGTGGCACAGCACCAAAACGATGAACGTTGCTTGGAGGGAATGTCAAGCTACTCCTTCAAGCCTCACATATATCGTGTGCTACACTCTCCACACAAAAGGTGACGAAGATCGATTCACGGTCACAGCGAGCGCCGAGATTTCGTTCTTCTGCTAGCTTCATCGAATCTTTGTGACTTTCTTTAGTCGTTATGACGCAAAGTTTTAAAATTCCTATATTATAAAAAAAAAAAAAAGAGCAATGGATGTTTTTCACATTGTCGTGTAAACATTATGATTTAAACAAGTCGAGATCAACACGTACTGGTCTTTAATCCTTCGACGAGACACTTCTATAAAGGATTAACGTCCCTGAAACTTCAAGTATCTTTTTTTACGTAGATGTCACTAAGCAAGGTCTTTTATTCGGGTTAATCCTCTATTTGACCAAACAAAAAGACTCCGGGTTCGATTCCTGGCATCCCCAATCTAAATTTTTTTATCGTTTTCTTAACTTTTATTTTTCCTCACCAAGCCAATCGAAAGTAAGCCCGCATTCTTCCACTTCTTGTCAAGCAGCTGGCTTTGAACCATTTTCGCCGCTTCCTCCAGCTCGGCGCTTCAGTCAATAGACAAACTCCATACTTTTGCTTAGCACGGACAAGCCTGGGATGGCTGCACGCCGTGAGCACACAAAGAAGTGCCATTCGTCTTGCATCTCATTGAAGAGCTTAAAACCATTCGTGTGTCCCCATCGCGGATCATGGACGTCTAGGCAACTGCGTCTGGAGTCACCTTACAGAATCTTGTTCACCCTCACTAATACTCTTGCCTGAAACTTGTAGCCTTGTATCATCCTCATGAATTGGACTCCATACTTGGGAGCGTTCGCAGGAAGCAGCAAATAGTTCGGCCTCAGCCTGTGCACAGCGTACATGAAGTAACCTTGGAGCTTGTATGTCCTCGAGTCCACACCTGAAGATATCTGCGTCAATTCCCTTCAGAGGCTCCAAAGCTCCCACGCTGCTGCTAGCCTTGGGCTAAACGAACAGGTCTCAAAGGACTTTCCCCCGACTTGGACGCAGAAGTTCTCGACCGGAACCAGCCCAGGGCCAGAGAATAAGTGAACTTCGCCACCTAAGAGTGCCAATGACGATGGAGAAATCTGGATCGAAGAGTACGTACCATGCGATTTATAGTTCTTCCAGTACGAACTCAGTGCTTTACTTGCAGAGAAACAAAACAAGCCAGGCTTTACAGTTGCAAGTGGCAAGCACACTCTTTCTTCAAACGAACTATTGCGATCGCAGTTAGCCAAGCAATTCCTTCATGAGAAAATCTCTTCACACCTGTTTCTTCTCCGTAGGTACCGAAAGTGATAAAATCCTCCCGTAATAACCTTCTTTGGATCTTGTATTGTCAATCGCTTCTACAAGGCATTTAGAAAGTTAACACGGGGGACTCAAAGTGTCACGTACCAGATAGTTAACTTACGCTTCGGCGCATCCTTGCGGCTTCTTCCAGCATCCCAGCCTCAGCATAAAGATTGGCCATGAGCACGTAAGCCGGGGCATTTTGATTGTCGAGCTCCATGATGGACTCGAAAGCAAGCCTCCCGAGCGCCACGTTCTTCCACTTCCAGCAAGCTCCCAGCACTGCCTTCCATATCACAACATCCGGCTTGCAGCTCATCCCTTTCACCAATTTCACTGCCTCGTCGAGTTGATTCGCGCGGCCGAGAAGCTCCACCATGCAAGTGTAGTGTTGAATCGTGGGAGCAATCCCATGCTTGCGGGGCATTGCTCTGAATTCGTCCTTCGCTCTGTCGACCAGGCCGGCGTGGCTACAGGCAGTGAGGACGGAGAGGAGCGTAACACCGTCTGGCTTCACACCGCCAACTTTCTCCATTCTCTCGAAGAGGTCCAGCACCCGAGTTGCGTCGCCTCGGCAGCTATAGCCTGCGATCAATGAGCTCCATGTCACTAAATCTTTCTTCGAAATGGAACTAAATACCTCTTCGGCCTCGGCCATGCTCCCACACTTCGTGAAGAAACTAACGAGCGCGTTTGCGACGATGGGATCTCTCTCTAGTCCAAAACTGCGAGCTTCCATCTGGATTTGCCTCCCGAATTCCAGTGCCACCAAGCTGGAGCAAGCTTTTAAAACGGCCACGAAAGTACCGGCATCTGGAGCACAGCCTGAGGTGTGACGCATCTGTCTGTAGAGTTCCAAAGACACGGCGCCTTCCCCACACTCCGCATACCCGATGATGATACAGTTCCATGAGACGGTGTTCTTATGTGGAAGGCTTTCGAAGAGATTGCGAGCAAGTATGATGCGACCGCACTTCGCGTAGAGATCGATTAGAGAGTTTGCCACTGCAAGGTCCAGCGTTCCAGCTTGAGAATGGATGCGTGCTCCTGTTTCGAGACACTTGAGCCTGAACTTTACGAGCCTTTCTTTCTCAGCAGTTCCCAGTGCTTCTTCTGATGCCCCTGCCGCCGTCAAGGTAGAGCAAGCTTTCAAAGTTGCCAGTAAAGTCACACGATCCGCCACACACCCTGTTGATTGCATGCGCTTGTAAAACTCGAGAGCTTGCTCGGACTCCCCGTTGTGGACATATCCCAGGATCATGCACTTCCACGAGATTGAGCTGTGACGACCCATAGCCTGAAATACAGTGCAAGCGTCTTCCATGCTCCCACACTTCGCGTAGAAGTCGAGTAGAGAGTTTGCCACGAAGTGATCCGACTGGTTTCCACTTGCCACGGCCTTGGAATGAATAGCCCTTCCCTGCTCCAGCCACTGTTGTCTCGAGGGACCATCTTTCTCTCCTTCCGCCAAGCTAGCACAAGCCTTGAGCGCAGCGAGGAGAGTCACACGATCTGGAGCGCAGTCTTCGTCTTGCATTCGCGAGTAAAGCTCGAGAGCAAACTCCGCTTCCCCAGCCTGTGCATAACCCGAAATGATCGAAGTCCATGAAATCACATCCCGCTGCCTCATGCTCTCAAACACCTTTTGTGCATCTTCCATGCTCCCACACTTGGAGTACATATCCACCAGCGAGTTTGCCACAGCAAGGTCCCGGACAAATCCTGCTCTGGCGACTCTAGAATGAAGAGCTCTTCCCTGTTCCAGCGATGTGATCTTCACTGCTCTTCCTAGTATCACGCGAGCTTCTTCCTTCTCTGCGCAGCTAGAGCATGCCTTCACTGCTGCGATGACCGTGACACGATCCGGCTCACAGCCTTCTTCTTGCATGCGCGCGAAGAACTTAAGAGCCAGAGCGCCATCTCCACACCTTGCATATCCCGAGATCATGGAAGTCCAAGAAACGACGTCCCGATGCTTCATCTCAGAGAAAGCTTGCAACGCGTCCGCCATGCTTCCACACTTTGCGTACATATCCAGCACAGAGTTCGCCACCACGCTGTTTGAAGAACAGTAATTCGTTCGCTCGGCAACGTAGCTATGGACTCGCTTACCTGTTTGGAGGTCTCGCGAGTTTCTACACGCTGTCAATGCCGCAAGCACGACACCAACGCCAGGAATCGCTCCCGCCTGCTGCAACGCGTCGTAGATCGACGGAATTCCAGGATTGGAGCCGCTCTTGTTCTTGGGAGTTCTCCACCTGCGACAGAAACGCGATTGAAAACCCTGAAACTGGAGCGAGAATTCTTACCTCGATGATCCAGCGCCGGCGCCAGTGGCAGCGCCATAGCCAGGAGATTTCCGGTTCCCGCCGCGATCTCCAGGAGCTCCAGCCGCCGCGATCGAATGAATCGCCCGCATTCTCGATTAGACCTAAGAGTAAGAGCATTTCAAATAAGCCCGCTCTTTTTATTCCAAGCTCCTGTTATTAGCAGGCACAGCGAAGCTACTGTGGCTCTTGCAAAAACACGTCCACTCCAAAGCATCGATGTTTTGCAAAAGCTCTTAGTAGCCAATACGACCATGGATTGGAAGCAATCAAGAACGCATCCAGTAGAGCATTCACAAGGAAAATTTCATTTAGACCGTGTCAACGGACTTCCATATAGCCTTATCCTGCTTGACAAGCTTGAGGTACGGCAAGCAAAGGATAAAGGAATATAATTTTAATAGAAAGAAAGCTTAGAACTGCGGCATATAGCGACTGATGCTGGCTTTCAGTTACCGGGGGATCCCCCCTCATCGATGAAGAGTCCGTTTTGTTCGAGCTCCATTGCGATGTAAGCCAACCTCATTATGAGTGTGTAGGCGATGCTCTGGAGATTAGCTTATGGAAACGGTACTACTTAGGTAGAAATTTCACATGCTAACTGATTTATTTCTACAAGTATGGTATGGAGAGAATGGAGTTACCCTCACAAAAGGTTCTAGTGGTTAGATTCAATTTATATTTTTAAAACCTTTTGTCCGTCAGTGGTTTGTTTTCTTATCTAAGAATGCTGTTAAAGCTAGCGAGCTTGTTATTCTTGGCTGTGGAGCTGGAAATGTAGCGTAAGTTTTCTAACTTAATTAGTTTTAGTACAAAGATTTAATTTCTGGTTTTGTTATTATCAGTGCAGAGCAGTGGGCTCGAAAGCTATGTATTAATGTAAGTTCCTTATATTGAGACTGAATTTAAGTTTGTAGTACAGGGTTCACTAAAGATTGGGAGTGTTTTGCCATTTCTTGGTAAATTTTAAAGAAAATTAGTATTTTAATCAGATATAACTTGATATTTTATTAGAGTGGGCACACAAGAGGAATGTTAGGTTTGAATCCAAATCATACCTCTCTAAAAACGGTTATAATTTTAAGTTTTTTATTCTACCTTATTCATGCTTGAATTATAGGAGTCATACTTTGAGAATGGAGACAACATATTATATCTGTATATGTATGTCAAAAACTTCCAGCTAAACAAATTGCTATTATTGCACATGCTTACGAGCTCCTAAAATATCGAGGTTTTAGTCTATTTTAGACTTTACAGAGTTAGAGGTGCTACAACGTCTCAAATGCATTGCTTTCACTGATGCTGGACAAAGCTCATATGTGAAGGTAAAACATATGTTCTATTTTCTATATTATATATTAATTTATTTTTACAGAATCTTCTTTTACTTCTCAGATGTTTGTGGTACAAAATTGTAAAGAATGGGTTTCAAGCTCCGTGCCTTTGGGAACGATCATGACAACATCAAGTTCAGAGAAGAAGGAAATAACATCAAGAAAGGGATATTGGTGTTTTAGTCGCTCCAACACTAAATTACCTCCAATTAAGACAGATATTGGTTGTGTGGAGATTTCAGCAGGAACTGGATCTCATGCTGAAACAACCATGAAGGCTTTTGTATTTTGACGAAGTTTTCTGAAATTAAACGAATGTATAAAGTTCTTTGTATCAGACACATTCTTAAATAACCTCCCATTAAAATTTTAACAATCGCATTCTAAATTGATGCATTTTAATGTTGGAATCAGTCTTAAAATTGTTAAACTTGAGGAATGTCAGTAACAACTTTGGCAAACAACTTTTCTGCTTCAGAAAGGCTTTCATCCTTGGTCCATCTATAAGTAAGCTTCTACACTTTGCTTACTAAGACCAAGAGCTTTCTTGGTTGGATTCTGGAACTTCACCTTGGTTCCATGTCATTCAGAAAAAGCTCACACCTTGATAAGTCAAAGTTAATGCAGTGTCCTGAACATTTCTTTCTAAGGCTTTGGGAATTAAACCGCAGCCTCCTTGAATGAAAGCCACTCTTCTTCTTCACCAAAGGAAACGTTCTGAAAGCAAGAAAAGCCTAAAACATGGACTGGTAAGGCCTGCTCGCAAGCATCAAAGAATGGAGAGCCTGCAAATCCACGCTTGGGATCTTCAAGACAAAGGCAGAGAATAGAGTGTGATCTTGTGGAGCAAAATGGTGGCGGAGTTGCAACCACCAGTGGGCATTATAAGGATTTGAGCAAAGCAACAATAGCTGGTGGCAGTAGTGTTGTTTGTGGATGTATGGTACATGACAAGCGCCATCGCAAAACAGGAGAAAATTGGCTATGCAAGAGGCTTTGACCAATAAAAGTCAATGCTAATTGTAAATGCTAGAGAATATTCGTTTCGTTTGAGAAATAGGTATTTAGCTATCGCATTTGGCCGGGCTGGAGCTCCGCACGGCGAAGATGCCACTCCGCTAGGGGAAGCACGAGATCTGGGCGCTCGCTGTCCACCGTGAAACGATCTTCGTCCAGCTTTTGCGCGGAGAGTGTAGCACATAGCACAATCGTGTATTCCTTCGTGTCATTGCTGGTGTGGAGCCTCGCATATCTGACAGTGGGTGTGAACCAGAAGTAAGCCTCACGCCTCCCGTAAGCATTCGCCCGGTTTGAGAGCATTCCCCTCTCCATGATCGAGGCAACGTTCTTCGTTTGGGTGCCGTGCCACAGGAACTTCAACACCTCTGGGGCGTCAGCTGGTTCGAATTCAGCACTGATGTTACCTGGTCGTGCTCAAATTGAAAAGAATTCCATAAGAAACACTGAGCTCTTACCAAGATCGGGATGGTCCTTTTCCATCGCTTCATATGCTGCCTTAAACCGGGTGTAGGGAGCGTATGTCTCGCGATTTTGCACCGTGAGGAAAGAATTCCGCTTGAGCGAGATGCGCACATCACTGCACTCCATGTTCCTGATCAGTTTCTTGATGAACGAACACGACACTATATAGGAGAGTCCTCGGCGAGGCTGCATTTCCTGAGCAGGAAAAGCTTAAGCAGGCAAATATCCGGACAGGATACCAGTTCAACCGCGTCGTCATCCTCAATGTCAGCTTGGTGAGATTGGTCGTTCTGCAGATTCTGCAATAGAAACAATTCTATCAGCAAAGTAAGCTAAAGTTGTAAACGAACCTTTTCCTTGGACTGTCGAGAGCACGCAGAAGCACACAAGGTTACCAAAGATGATAAGGCCCAGCAACATAGACTCGCCAATCCTTGCTGCAAAACACACAGCGCTCGGACTCATACTTTGGCAAGAACAACGCTTGTACCAATTTGCCGTGAGCTCGCGGGGCCTAGAATTTAGTAGAAGAAACGTTTAACGACTAAAGAGAAGATCGAGTCGAATCTTTGAAAGCATACCGGTTGCTCGAGCGCTGGGTTCTCATTTCCCTGCGTGAAAGAATATTGCCAGATTCCGAGATGAAAGAAATCTGCATTGTACCGGAAACTCCTCGAGAGGTTGCGCGGCTAGTCGTGGCTCATCGTTCTGTGGAACAGATCCACTACAGCGCTGCCGGCAAAGGGATTATAACGTACAAGCGTACCTTTGCCGAGATTTCTAGAATTTCTCCGTCTCCTCCACTGCCAGGCTCCATGGCACGCTCGAAATCTTTGCATTGGCGCCAGCAGCGGCAAGATTAGAAATGCTTCGACATCGGAGACAGGATTGATCGAGCGCGATCACATCACAGTACCTGCTGGCGGCCGGAAGCCGGATTATAAGAGCGCGAGGCCCGGGCGCGCACAAAGACGATGGATTTTCGACGCCCTAGCTGTTGGAGACGAAGAGCGCGTATAGAGAATGCAATAAACCTAGCAACCAAGGGGACGGCAGGCTCTACGAGCTTCAAAGCTTCGCCCAGCAGCAAATAGGACACGGCCACGTGTCAAAACAGCATCTTCTCGGCATCTTATCAAATTTTGCCGCCTTGTAGAAATGAAAGAGGATATTCTTTGGTATGTACATTGTGCTTGTAAAAAAAGAGCGCGTTCTCAAATGATTTGAGCATGCTCCTCCCTCAAGTAAATCGCCTCCATCAACAAGTACCCCGCCTCGTCCCTCGCCTCCCTTGAACCAGCCGATCGAAGGCACGCAAGTGCTCGGCAGGACGAACTCCATACTTTTCTTCCATCTCATTGGAGCAGCGCTGCGCTTGGCGGACAAGCCCGGTATGGCTGCACGCCGTGAGCACGCAAAGAAGCCGAAGAGCTTCGCGTCGCGGCTGTGTGCTGCTATCACGGACGTCCAGGCAACCTCGTCTGGTTTCGCCAGTGACTTGAAGGCCTGCTGTGCCTTTGCGTTCCCGGTTTTCCCATAGCCATCAACGAGGACGTTCGCGTCCTCGAGTCCACACCTGGAGATATCTGCTCCAGGGCTCCCGCGCTGCTGCTAGAGCAGCCACGAAAGTTGACGCGTCGTCGCATTAGTTGCAGAGCCCGAGTCCAGGACAGCGCGTCGTGACGGCGCACCTTTTGGAACACTTTCCAGGCGTCCCGGATGTTTCCACACTGGCGTAGAAGCTGACGAGCGTGCTGGCTAGAAAAGTTGCATGCGCTTGTAAAACTCGAGAGCTTGCTCGAACTCCCCGTTGTAGACATATCCCAGGATCATGCACTTCCACGAGATTGAGCTGTGACGACCCATAGCTTGAAACACAGTGCAAGCGTCTTCCATGCTCCCACACTTCGCGTAGAAGTCGAGTAGAGAGTTTGCCGACTGGTTTCCACTTGCCACGGCCTTGGAATGAATAGCCCTCCCCTGCTCCAGCCACTGTTGTCTCGAGGGACCATCTTTCTCTCCTTCGGCCAAGCTAGCACAAGCCTTGAGCGCAGCGAGGAGAGTCACACGATCTGGAGCGCAGCCTTCGTCTTGCATTCGCGAGTAAAGCTCGAGAGCAAACTCCGCTTCCCCAGCCTGTGCATAACCCGAAATTATCGAAGTCCATGAAATCACGTCCCGCTGCCTCATGCTCTCAAACACCTTTTGTGCATCTTCCATGCTCCCACACTTGGAGTACATATCCACCAGCGAGTTTGCCACAGCAAGGTCCCGGACAAATCCTGCTCTGGCGACTCGAGAATGAAGAGCTCTTCCCTGTTCCAGCGATTTGATCTTCACTGCTCTTCCTAGTATCACGCGAACTTCTTCCTTCTCTGCGCAGCTAGAGCATGCCTTCACTGCTGCGATGACCGTGACACGATCCGGCTCACAGCCTTCTTCTTGCATGCGCAAGAAGAACTTGAGAGCCAGAGCGCCATCTCCACACCTTGCATATCCGGAGATCATGGAAGTCCACGAAACGACGTCCCGATGCTTCATCTCAGAGAAAGCTTGCAACGCGTCCTCCATGCTTCCACACTTTGCGTACATATCCAGCACAGAGTTCGCCACCACGCTGTTTGAAGAACAGTAATTCGTTCGCTCGGCAACGTAGCTATGGACTCGCTTACCTGTTTGGAGGTCTCGCGAGTTTCTACACGCTGTCAATGCCGCAAGCACGACACCAACGCCCGGAATCGCTCCCGCCTGCTGCAACGCGTCGTAGATCGACGGAATTCCAGCATTGGAGCCGCTCTTGTTCTTGGGAGTTCTCCATCTGCGAAAGAAACGCGATTGAAAACCCTGAAACTGGAGCGAGAATTCTTACCTCGATGATCCAGCGCCGGCGCCAGTGGCAGCGCCATGGCCAGGAGATTGCCGGCGCCCGCCGCGATCTCCAGGAGCTCCAGCCACCGCGATCGAATGAATCGCCCGCATTCTCGATTAGACCTAAGAGTAAGAGCATTTCAAATAAGCCCGCTCTTTTTATTCCAAGCTAAGCTACTGTGGCTCTTGCAAACACGCCCACTCCAAAGCATCGATGCTTTGCAAAAGCTCTTAGTAGCCACTACGACCAGATTGGAAGCAATCGAGGACGCATCCAGTAGAGCATTCGCAAAGAAAAATTCATTCTCAAGACCATATAGGCTTATCAGGAGATTCCTGCTTGACAAGCTTGAGAGCTTGAGGTAGAAGCCATGGTGGCAAGCAAAGACTAAGAACAAGTAACAACTGGCATATATCCAATTCTCTATGCAATGCAAGTGTCTTGTGATTCTGAGCTCTTCCTTGATAAAAGGAATATATGTATATGTTATTTTAAAACCTAGTTAGGGTTTGCTTTGATGGAGAGATTGGAAGAGTTGGGCTATAGATTAGATGAAGAAAGCTTAGAACTGCGACATATAGCGACTGGTGCTGGTTTTCAGTTTGTAAGCCAATCTCATTATGAGTGTGTAGGCGATGCTCTGGAGATTATTGTGCATCAGCTTATGGAAACGGTACTAGTTAAGTAAAAAAAAATCGTGCTAACTGTTTTATTTCTAGAAGTATGGTATGGAGAGAGTGGAGCTACCCTCACAAAAGGTTTTAGTGGTTAGATTCAATTTGAGATTTTAAAACCTTATGTGCTTTTTCAGTGTTTTGTTTTCTTATCTAAGAATGCTGTTGAAGCTAATGAGCTTGTTATTCTTGGCTGTGGAGCTGGAAAAGTAGCGTAAGTTTTTTAACTCTATTAATTTTAGTACAGGGATTTAATTTCTGGTTTTGTTTTATATCAGTGCAGGGCAATGGGCTCGGAAGCTATGTATTAATGTAAGTTCTTTATAAGTTTCCAATTTGAGACTGAATTTAAATTTTGGTACAGGGTTCACTAAAGATTGGGAGTGTTTTGCCATTTCTTGGTAAATTTTAAGAAAATTAGTATTTTAGTCAGATATAACTTTATATTTTATTAGAGTGGGCACACAAGAGGAACATTGCAATATTAGTTTTGAATCCAAATCATGCCTCTCTAAAAACGGTAATATAATTTTAAGTTTTCTTATTCTACCTTTACTTATTAATGTTTTTATTATAGGAGTCATACTTTAAGAATCGGAGAGAACATATTATATCTGTATGGGATAATATATGTCAAAAACTTCCAGCTAAACAACTTGCTATTATTGCACATTCATGTGGTGGATATGATGCTTATGAGCTTCTAAAATATCGAGGTTTAATTATTTACTTGATATATTTTATATTTATTATGAACTTTACAGAGTTAGAGGTGTTACAACGTCTCAAATGCATTGCTTTCACTGATGCTGGACAAAGCTCATATGTGAAGGTAAAACATATGTTCTTTTTTCTTTTTTATATATTATTTTATTTTTACAGAATCTTTCTTGTACTTCTCGGATGTTTGTGGTACAAAATTGTAAAGAATGGGTTTCAAGCTCCATGCCTTTAGGAACGATCATGAGAACATCAAGTTCAGAGAAGAAGGAAATAACATCAAGAAAGGGATATTGGTGTTTTAGTCGCTCCAACACTAAATTACCTCCAACTAAGACAGATATTGGTTGTGTGGAGATTTCAGCAGGAACTGCATCTCATGCTGAAACAACAATGAAGGCTTTTGAAGAGATTTGTAGGTTTATTTTGATGAAGTTTTCTGAAATTAAATGAATGTCTAGGATCTGCCTTAGACACATCCCATCAAAAGTCTAGCAATCAAGTAGAGCATTCTAAATTGATGCATTTATTTGTAGAAATGTTGGCTGAATCAGTCTTAAAATTGTTAAGCTTGAACTTTGGCAAACCACTTCTCTGCTTCAGAAAGGCCTTCATCCTTGGTCCATCGCTTCCACACTTTGCTTACTAAGACAAGAGCTTTCTTGGTTGGATCTCTGGAACTTCACCTTGGTTCCATGCTATTCAGAAGAAGCTCGCACCTTGATAAGTCAAAGTTAATGCAGTGTCCTGGACATTTCTTTCTAAGTCTTTGGGGATTAAACCGCAGGCTCCTTGAATGAAAGCCACTCCTTTTCTACACCAAAGGAAACGTTTTAAAGGCAAGAGAAGCCACAAAACATGAACTGGTAAGGTCTGCTTGCAAGCATCAAGGCATGGAGAGCCTGCAAATCCACGCTCGGGATCTTCAAACAGAGGCAGGGAATAGATTTGCTCCGTGCTCCACAAAATGGTGGAGTTGCAACCGGTGGGCACTATAAAGGATTTGAGCAAAGCAACAATAGTTGGTGGCAGTAGTGTTGTTTGTGGATATATGGTACATGGCAAGCGCCATCGCAAAATCAATGTTGCAGAAGAAAGGAATAAAGCTCCAGAAACGAATCGCTTTATGTGGCTATCCCTTGGCGAACGATCCACATGCGAGAGGCTCTGACCACGTGAAGAATTGTGGGAGCATAACCTAAATACTACATTAAACATGGAGGAGAAACACAAGGAGACTTCTGAGACAAAATAATTGTAGTGGATAGACTTAAAATATACTAGTCTCAAGAGTGGACTAGGAAAGTGCATAGAATCTTGAGGTAAGAACATTCTTGTAAAAAGGAAAGCATTTCTTTCTTTTATGTTTTCTAGATCCGATCACAAGATTTACTGTTACATCAACTGCAAATCTCAGCCAGAACAACATTACACGGAGCAAATCTTACAATACTTCGTTGGCTGGTCCAAAAGGTACAACCTTACTTTGAAGAGCTTGTGTGCAAACACTTCTATCCCGTTCTGGGCCGTCATTGCATCCAGAGGTACACTATAAGTCCTTTGAGGTCTTAATTAAACCACTTTTAGCCTGTTGTGCAGAAAAATTGTCAGGCAGCTCTTGTCAGTGAAAGCCAATCTGAAAAGGTAAAAGATAAAAGAAAGAGAACCAACTTACTTCTCTTCTTGTTGTTTCCAGGCATCTATAGCACTAAGCTGGACAGACAGAAAACCGAGCCGAAAGTGGAGCAGTAGCTTCATGAAATGGCACCCAGAGATCAGTAGCAAGCTTGGGGAGGCCTTGGAGCTCCAACATGCAAAGTTCCTAAGCAAAGAAGTTGCATCACGATTCTATGAGAATCTTGATGCATCTTATGTTGCAAGCAGTTACAAGCCAAATCACATTTGGAATGCTGACAAAAGTAGTGTCTGAGCCAATTGTTGTAGAGGTGTCAAAGTTTTGGACACCCCAAGTGTCAGATTCAGCTCCTGAATTGTCCCAAACAACACTGAGCAGATGACTATTCTTGTGGCAGTGAATGCTGCTACCTGGATCCTATATCTTCAAAGGCAAGTGGAGGATGCAAAATTGGATTGCAGATTGCAAAGTAAGAGTTACACTCGCCATCAGTGAGAAAGTTTGAATGATATAAAATCTATTGGCTTGAACACTTTATGAAATCTGTTCGCCTACAACTACCACACTCGCATTGTTGATGGCCACAGGTCTTATGTGACCAAACTTGTCCTGGAAACAACAAGACTATTAGGCATGGACGTGATATTACTACCCATCTCCCCACATGCAACCTTTGGCATCGATCATTTCCTTTGCTTTTACCGGCATTTTCCTGGAATACAGTAAACTCTCTTGACGGACAAGATAGAGCTTTGATTTGTCAATGGCGAATAAGCGTACATGGGCAATTGGATTTGTTGGTCATAGTGTGTTCCCTCAACTTGTTCTTCATAGTTGAATTATACATTCAAAATTGCCGAGAGGAAACTTACGATAACAGAGAGGAGCTAGCTTTCTAGTTACGGTGGCAGCTGCCGCCATACTAGCGCCATCCTCGAGGTGCAATTCCTCCCACGTCCACTCTCATGGCCAGCATCAGCACAAACATGGCAAGCACCGAAAACAACACCAAGCAAGCCTTGGTTCTCCATGATTTGCTGCTAAAACTAAGAGTTCAACGAGTATATTCGAGAGAAGTGTGAGGCCGCTCGTCTTTATAGCTGGAGTCAGCATACAATGCTGTAACGTCTCTTGGGGCGGCATCACTTTGTCCTTTGAAAGTTAGTCGAGGAAATCGTTCCGTGTTTGTCAATTCCTTTTCCTTTTTATAATGCTGGGACATAGAACAACATGAATCCATATGAGTAAAGGCACAGTTTATATAATATATATTATTGAACTCATGCATCACCACGCGCCATTGCTATAGACTTCACTGCCACTGAAAAGGACAAACATCCAAATAAATTGCTGGATCTTCACGATCTTTAGAAGTGTTTCATTTCACTTTCGATCGAGAGAGGGGACGTGGTTGGTGTATGTAATTGCTAGACTTTGTCTTGGGAAAACGATCAGATTCGTTGAAAATTTTGTCTCCACTACTGCATCTTATTTCCTTCTTGTTGCTTTTCCAAGTTCCACGTCGAGACTAAGATGGCAACATTTCATTGACAAAAACATATATTAGTTTATTTAATATTATATAATAATAAATTTTAGTCCAAAAGCTTGAAAATTTCAAACTGCGCTCCCGTGGTTCTTCGAGGCGCCAGGCTAGCGAACTTTGGCGATTCTTCAGCAGCGGCTGCCATTCGAGCGCCACCCTCGCTGGCATCGATGGCAACTGGTCATACCCGTACCAATTGCATAGCACGCAGCGAAATCCATTGGCAGCGCTGCGCCATCGCCTTGGTGAGCTACGTGTGCCTGGGCCTGGTTGTGACGCTCCAATCGAGTCGAGCAATCGATCAATCCAGCGATGCATTGATTGGAAGTCGAGGGATTTGGAGAAGAGAGGAGGAGCAAGAGACATTCAGACTTTTTATATCAAGCTGGACAATTTATTTATTATTGCTGGAACTCATCACGATCAGAAAACACGTTATCAGTGCTCTTTATTCTTTCTTGGCACTGCAGAATGATGAAATCAAAGGCAATTACGATGTTGATTCTTAACATGGGCTTACCCCGTGAAACGGGAGGCTTCAGTTGCGCCAGCAGCGATTGTTGCGCCAGACCCAACCCCTCTGGCAACGGTGGCAACTGTTGTCATACCAATACCACCCCGACTGGCAGCGCTGGGCAGCAGCCTTTGCGATTCCTCCCACGTCCACGCCCATGGCCAGCATCATCACAAACATGGCAAGCGCCAAAAACATCACCAAGAAAGCCTTGTTCTCCATGATTTGCTGCTCAGACTAAGATCAAGTAGGCTTGTATATTAGAGAGAAATGGTTTGATCTGTGAGGCAGGAGGGGCTCGTCTTTATAGCTCGAGGCAGCACAAAATGTTAGATGGACGCTGGAGAGTTGTCTTGGGACGGCTTCGCTTATTTCTTATCTCTGAAAGAATATTTGAGAGCTAGTCCAGTAAAAGTGGTTCCGTGTTTGCCAATTCTTCTTTTTCCTATGCTTCTCCAACCCTTCAAATCCTTATCTCCAAAGTCACTCTAGCATTCCTCTACTAGCTTTGCCAAAACTTTAAAAGTGTTTGATTCAAAGTTCCATAGAACTTCGATGCTAATATACTAAACACGAACCTAATACCTTGTCTTCCATCTAGACCACAGACTCAGTATGGCTGCTTCCAGTCACCCACAACTTTAATCAAAGTGGTAAATGCTACATTGTCTCTTCTCACTGGCAGGCTCTTGACAATCTCTTGGGCATTCTAGAGCAATTTGCAGTGATATCAATAATTATCAAGATTTATTCATTAAAATTGTTTTTCTTATTTGATTTACTTATAATTATTTTCTGTTATTCTATTAATTAGATGTTGTTAAAGTTATACTTGTTGACTCTTTCCAAATGGACTCATGTGACGCAGCTGCTTTTGCAGATTCGACATAAGCACGTAGAGCTCCAGAGTCCCCTGGTTTCATCTCAAAGAGTTTCTCTGCAGCACGAGCTGCAACATCGATGTTCTTGCCACTACCATGAACTTTGCAAGCGCTGATCAAGCTCTTCCACGCGAGGAAATGCGGCTGGAAGGGCATCACCAGCAGCAGACCTTCGGCCTTGGCAACCACCCCGGCTCGTCCCAGCACATCTGCCATCGCCTGGAAGTGAATCACATTTGGAGAAATGCTGTACTCGGCCACCATAGATCGAAAGTAGTCGAGTGCCACACGGAGCTTCCCACCGTGATTGCAAGTCAAGAAAATCCCCTGGAAACTTATCTCGTTTCTCGTCTCGCCCTCCATCGCCATGCTGCCAAAAAACATCGCGCTCCACAACACAATGCTCCGTTCAGGCAATGTGGAGAAAATCTTCCCGGCCTGCAAGACATTTCCCCCTCAGCGCTCGCGGCAAGGATCGTGTTCCAGCTCGCTGTGTCTCTCACCGGCATGGCCACGAAGAGCTCCCGCGCTTGGACGAGGCAATTGCTCTGGATGTAAAGCTCCCAGCATCGTGTTCCACGCGACGCTATCGTGCTGTGGCATTTGGTCGAACAAGGCTCTGGCATCGATCAAACTGCCGTGCAAAGCAATTGCCGCCACCGTTGCCGTCCAAGCGACGAGATCGCGCTGTGGCATCCGTGCAAACATCTTCATGGCTTCTTCGAGGTGGCCGTGGTTGGAGTAGGCCAAGATCATGGCAGTCCACACCACGTCGTCGTGATAGGGAGCTTGATCGAAGAGAATGCGAGCTTCTTCGAGCTGGTTTCTCTCCGCCAGTGCGGTGATCATTGTCGACCACGATGCAACGTTCCTCTGTGGCATGGCATCAAACAGAGACCTTGCTTCTTGCAGGCTGGCCGTTGCCGCTAGCATTGCGTTCCACGAGATTAAGTCGCGGTGTGGCATTTTACTAAAAAGCTTCTTGGCTTTTTCAATATGCCCAAGCTCGGCATATGCAGTAACAAGAATAGTCCATCCCAGCTCGTTGGTTTCGGGGATTCTCATGAACAAATTTAGCGCATCGTTAACAGACCTTTTCTGGAATACCCATTAACCATAACAGTCCAAGAAACTATGTTGTGTTCTAGCATTCCATCAAAGATCTGGCTTGCTTGATCCATATGCCCGTTATGTGCATATGCTGTAGTTCTAGCAAACTACATCCCATTCTGAAACCTGATCAAACAATGCTTGGCGCTCCTCCAAGTTTCCACGGTTTGCATGAGCCGTGAGAATAGAGACCCATGAAACAATATCTCTTAAACAGCTCTTTTGCTTCCTCAAGATCCGCATTTTGGGCATAAGAGCCAAGCATCAAGTTCCAGGAGAATCTGTTGGGCTCATGGATGGCTGATAAACACCTGCCATGCTCGATCCGCGCGCTCGCACCTTCCTTAGAGCTGGATGAGAAGATTTGCGAGGTACCTGTTGGATTGGTGGTGAAGGATGAGCGCGTGGAGCCTGGCGCCTTGACGCAAATCTCTTGCGTCAAGGCGCGTAGTCGTCGTCGAGCGACAATGCACGCTGATCTAGATCGTCCACGGCCTGTTCTAGAGGCTTCAATTGTTAGCAGCGAAGAGACACGCACGAGGAGGAAGAACTTTCTATGTATTTCAACTGTATATGGATGGAACAACTGCCACGTGGGCATAATTACATGCCACATCATCTCTGATTATTTCCTTTGATTTTTACCGGCGTTTTTCGACTGACAAAATAGAGCTTTGATTTGTCAATGGCGAATAAGCGTTTCCAAAGGCGGGATTTCATAGGATTTCTGCTGTAAAAAGGAAACGGTGGTCACAGTTCGTTCCCTCAACTTGTTCTTCATATTTATCACGGTTTGAATTATACGTTCAAAATTGCTAAATAATCCCCGAGAGGAAACCTACGATCCATACCAGCGCCATCCTCGAGGTGCGATTCCTCCACGTCCAAACGTAGCACCGAAAACAACAACCTTTTTGCTGCTAGTAAGCTTGTTATATTCGAGAGAGGTGGTTTAATCTATGAGGTGTTTGAATTTGAAAAAATAAAAAAGATTGCTCTGTCAATTCTACAGATTCTTTTTTCTCGCATAGATGATGGTCCACCATCGGCAACTGCTCTGCGGCATCGCACTTCCATTGAAAAGGAGAGCTCTTTATTTCTTCTTGTTTCATCTTGGCAATAGGTGTTGTAAGCCAGAGCAGTGTCGCAGATGAAGCAGGGGCTGCTCCAGTCCAGCAAAGTCTGCGAGGATTTTGGAGCACCACCAGGTTGCTGCTCTGGATCGCAACTGCAGTTCCGTGCATCGCGCTTCTCGTCCGTTCCAAGGAGAGGAAGCAGATAGCCTCGATTGATATCGTTGCCACATGGTCCAACTTGAAATCTTTGTTTGCTTTTTCTTATAAAAAATGTAATATAGTTTATGATACTGCATCCCAAAACCATATATAAAAAGTATATATAGTTGTTTGTGTGATGTATCCAACAACAAGGTCGAAATCTAGGAGATATCGAGCTCGACTTCTGGCATTCCCCTACACCCTCCTCACAATATAAACCTGATTAATCAGTAGTTCCATCACAATCAGAATGATCACCGAAGGATCATCAGCTTAAGCCATGGGAGAATGAAAAAGAAATGTCATTTATGTAAGAAACACTGTTCAATAATTAGAAACAGCCACCATCCACCATCAGAATTTGCACGAAGCCTGCCCATCACAGTAGCGACCGGGTGTAAAAAAAAGACCTTTATTTGTTGGTGTTTCAGCAAAGAGAAAGGGAAAGGACGAGCAAAGAGAAAGGGAAACGAGTGAGAAAAGGAGAAACCGAGTGAGAAAGCATGGTCACAGTGTCACCGACTAGAATCTTCTAGCATGAGACCAAGGAAATGCCCCGAAACGGACACACACACCTTGGTTCTCTCACCTTTTACTCTCTTTCTGTTCTTAGGTCACAGTTATTGTCATGTGACAATAACTGTCACATGAAATTCGTTCGAAAGCCGTGTACGAAACCATGGCGGCCCTCCCGCCAAGATCTAGGCTGAGATTCAGTTACAATGCGGGGAAGCTTGGCTATAAACATTCTCTTGGAGAACTGCTAGATTGCCAAACAAAATTCTCTCAGAGATGTTACAAACACTCCAGGATGAACTACTATTCACATCACTGATTATTTCTGCTCGAAAATGAGTTTTTCTGTTTCAAGTGTCATTGTTCCTAAGGAAGAAAGGTGATCAGTCAATGCAGCAAATCGATTTGTGTCTGCTTGGAAGCTTTTTTCTGTTCGAGCTCGCTCCACATTGGCACCTGTGGAAGGGTGAAACTAGGAGATTGAAACAGACATTAATCACAAAATACCTGCAAATGCTTGAGCATCCTTTTATCGCTTTTCCTGACATAAAGAAGCTTCCATCTCGGAATGGTCAGAAATGTAAACGCGGCTTAAGTCTTAAGAAGCATTTCACACCAAGGACACCAAGCCTGCGCAAGAAAGTGAGTAGTAGTGACAAGACGAGAAAAGTACAAAATACCTTTAGAAAGTGGAGTCTGCAAACACTCCGGCAAAGATCTCTCTCGATTGAGCATCTTTACTTCCAAGATATTTGGAAGTTCCGGGCTAGACTGTGTAGGCTTCGAGGTCTGGGTTTTCCTTTGAGAAAACAGCATCTGTAACATGACATCCTAGGAAGAATAATCTAGCCAATAAACAATACCAGGCTTCTTTCCAGAGACCAATCTTAAGCTTCGTGTAGAGATCTTAAACGATGGAGCATAGATAGAGTTGGAAAGAACATCAGCATTGCAATCCAATTCAAAATATCTAGCAAGAACCCTAAATCCAACGGCGTAAATTCAACGAGCTCAGATAAGATCTAGCTCTCATAAACATGAGCCATCAACAAGTACGCTGACGATTTCACCCTCACATCCATTCCAACCAACGCATCAAATGCTTCACTTCCAACTCTCGTGTTCTTCCACTTCCTACAAGCGCTCAAGATCGTCATCCAGGTCACGACACCCGCTTGGAAAGGCATTGATCTCACAATCTCCAGCGCCTCCTCCAGATGGTTTGCTCGCCCCAGCATATCAATCACGCAGTGGTAGTGCTCTCGCCCAGGATCAATCCCATACTTCTCTCTCATCGATCCAAACAATCGTTTCCCTCGCTCCACAAGCCCGGCATGGCTACACGCGGCTAGCACACAGAGCAGGGTCACACCACCCGGCCTCACGCCAGTGTCCACCATCGCCTGGAACGTCACAAACACGAACTTCACGTCACTTGGCGGCCATAGCCGGACACTAGAGCCGTCCATGCAACCACGTCCTGCGCGGCAACCATGGAACCATCAAAGACAAGCTGAGCGTCGGCCATGGTAGCACACTTCCCATAGAAGTCGATCAAACCGGTGACCACGATGGTATCGCCCTCCAGTCCATGCCGGCAAATCTCGCCATGGAGACGTCGCCCAGCTTTGCTCGAGGCGATGGATCCGCACGCCTTGAGCGCCGCCGCGAGCGTCCACGAGTCGGGCTCCACTCCCGCGTCCACCATCGCGAAGAACACCGCCAGGGAGCTCTCGCCATCGCCATTCTCGGCGTAGCCGGAGACGAGCCCCGTCCTTTCTATTACATCCAAGCTCCTAGTAAGAGGCAGTCCACTGTGCTACTTCCCTGACTGGTCCGGCATGTATAGGCCTGTGTGTGGTGTTCCATTTAGGATGATCAGATAATTGTGCTCGATCGGTTGTCTCCCCGCGGGGATTATCCCCTCATTCTAGGCGAAGATTCTCTCCAGGTTTGGTCCTGTTGCTTGCCAAGTCGCAGTGTAGGCGTTCTTGAGAAAGCCCACATCCATCACATAAAAGTTGCCGCCGTCGCTCAATTCGAATGTTCCCCAGCTCGGACGCCCAACTAAAAGTATAGGATTCGAACTCAGGACCACAACGAGAAAGGCCTTGTCTCTGCGATCTTCTAAAATAACTGGAGTTCATAATAATGCCTCCACTTCCGAGATTTTTCGGCTCTCACTGTCCCCGATAGTCCTTGTTCCTGCTCGACTCAATGCTCGCGTTACACGTTTTCAAGGTGGCAGCGCTGCGAAACAAAGCGAAGAGGTGCGCGTACCGAGAGAACCAGAAAGAGAAAATGAAAAACGTGAGAATGTACGCTAGTTTTGCTTTTCCAGATGTTTTATAGCCTCATGCTTCTGTACGGCTTGCGACTACCGTAGGTAAAAAAAAATTAAAGCTTGGAAATTCGTGCAGGAATAAAACGAATTCCAATGTACCGGGACCATATGTCTGTGAGTGACTTGTGGGCCTGGCGCTTGATTGATATCAAGTGGAGAAGATACTCTAAAGGCCAGTCACCCTCTCTCAATAATTCAATAGCCCTTTTTTTTTCTCCATGCCTTTGCGTATAGCAGGATCTTCCTCTCCAGCTCTAGATTGATAGGTTCGCGAGAGAAGTTCACGTCCTAGCTGATAAGCTCAAATCGAGAAATCGAAAGAGGATACCTTTGAGTCCCGAGGATGGGAGCTCAAATCTCTTGGTTTTAGATTCTATTCTCTTCCAGTTGGGTTTTTGTGGATCGATCGAGTGATGAAGAGAACCGTGAGCGTTTCTTCTCTAGGGGGAGCGAGCAGTGGATGTGAGAGCCCCAAAAGCGTTCTCGATTATAATCACCATTGCCAGCAGCACTATCACCAGAATCCCAAATCGATCACCACAGAAGCAATCCCCTGCTCCGCTCCAAGACCAGCTCCACGCGCAAATCCGAGCTCCAGGCCCGTGGGATTGGGATTTGTGGTTGCATTGGGGGAGAAAAACGAGGACCTCTGCAGCGCTGTCCGCCTGACGCGATCGTCCATAGCTCGAGCCGCTCAGCAGTGTGCCAGGCCCCGGGACAAATCAGGATCTTCGAATTCGACCGCACCGAGCTTCCTCCGGTTTTGCTGCCTGTGCAAGAGAGAAATAGTCTACGGCAGAGATATCTACATGTACAGGTAAATCTCCATAGCTCAAACCTTGGAAAGAAAGACCATGAACGCTCAAAGTTTTCCAAAATTTCAGGGGGATTCAAGCGTTTTGTAGCTTGGATTGCCGGGACCAGCAGATCACGAATGACGAGAAGCAAGAGCGCAAGAACAGCAAGCCCAAGTCTTCTTCGTCGGGAGTTTACAGTTACTACAAGAGACCAAATTTGAGAACCAAAGTTGCGGCTGCTTGATCATCCAAAATCTTTTGGAAGAGAAATATACACGCATATATACAATAGAAGAATCAGATAATATAAATATCAAAAGAATACTTTCTAGGGCATACGTGTCATAAAGTTCGTTTTACCGTTGAAAGTCTAGGGCGGGCTTTCTTTCTTGTTCTTGCGAAGCGCTCGCAAGAACGCTCTTCTCTCCACACTCAAATGGACAAGATCTCCGGGGCTTCTCTTCTTCTTTCTCGCTACAAGCAACAAATCCTCCAGGAAGATCATCGCCAGCAGCAGCATTTCCATCAAAATAGCCAGCAGCAGCAGCATGGAACTCGAATTCACGACAATCGGGCAATCTTTGTCCCTGGCGCGGCAGAGAAGCCGGGATTCGTCGTTGATTTCCTCATGGGCGGCGTCTCTGCGGCAGTGTCCAAGACCGCCGCGGCCCCCATCGAGCGCGTCAAGCTCCTCATCCAGAACCAGGACGAGATGATCCGGATGGGCCGCCTCTCGGAGCCTTACAAGGGGATCCTCGACTGTTTCGGCCGGACGATGCGCGACGAGGGAACCATGGCGCTCTGGCGAGGCAATCTCGCAAACGTCATTCGCTACTTCCCCACCCAGGTACAATCTTTCTTTGATCGTTTTCTTTCCCGTGTTCTTCCGGAGATCACGGCGGAAGTTTGCTATAACTTCTTTTGCGTTCTGTTCTTGGAAGATCACGAACTCCTAACGTCTTCGTCTTCTTGCTTCTCACTTCCAGGCACTAAACTTCGCGTTCAAGGATCACTTCAAGAGGATGTTTAACTTCAAGGCCGACCGCGATGGCTACTGGGTATGGTTCGCTGGGAACTTGGCCTCGGGCGGCCTCGCCGGTGCCTCGTCTCTCTTCTTCGTCTACTCGCTGGACTACGCGCGGACTCGCCTCGCTAACGACGCCAAGGCCGCCAAGAAAGGTGGCGGCGCCGGCGGCGGCCGCCAGTTCAATGGCCTCCTCGACGTCTACAAGAAAACTCTGGCCAGCGACGGCATCGCGGGGCTCTACCGCGGCTTCAACATCTCCTGTGTTGGCATCGTCGTCTACCGCGGCCTCTACTTTGGGATATACGACTCGCTCAAGCCCGTGGTCCTGGTGGGAGATCTCAAGGTACGGAATTAGACAACTCTGTGATTCTTACGTACGGTTTTCGTGCTTGGACTTCCAACTCTCCAGGGCAACTTCGCGGCGAGCTTTATGCTGGGGTGGAGCATCACGATCGCGGCTGGATTGGCCTCGTACCCGATCGACACGGTGAGACGCCGGATGATGATGCGATCTGGCGAGGGTGCCAAGTACAAGAGCTCCATGCATGCGCTGCGGGAGATTCTGGCCAAGGAGGGGGTCAAGTCGCTGTTCAAGGGAGCCGGGGCCAACATCTTGAGAGCCGTGGCGGGCGCAGGAGTGCTCTCGGGCTATGACCAGCTGCAAATGATCTTCCTGGGCAAGACGTATGGCTCGGGTGGCGGCGGCTAATAATCTCAAACAAAGATTATCTCAAATGAATAATAAAGGTCCAACTCTTACGTTCTAACGTGATAATGTCTAAAAGTTAATTTAATTATAATCAAATTAATAGTTAGAGTTAATCAGAAAATGGTTTGAAAAAAGATTCCAATACTTAAACCTGTCTGAGCCCGGGTTCGAACCGGGGACCTCTAGCGTGTGAGACTAGCGTGATGACCAACTACACCACCCAGACTTAATACTACTTCAACAACAAAGCTTTTCTTTATCTAAATTGTTTGATAATGATCTCAGAAGGGATTACAGTGGGGTTTAGGGTCAAATTGCAGAGGGTTCGAGCCACATTTATCTAAATCTAAAATTTGTTTGATAATAGTATAAATCAATTACAGTATAAAGAATCAACTGGTGTCTGAGCCCGGGTTCGAGCCGGGGACCTCTAGTGTGTGAGACTAGTGTGATGACCAACTACACCACCCAGACTTAATCAGCCTGATTCGTGCTCACTGCCCTCTTCCTGCTCGGACTTGCGCTGGAATTGGCCTTCCCGTGCCACTCCCACCGCAGCTATTGCACCGCATTCTTCCAGATCCCCCACAACTCCGGCACCCATAATCCTTGTCCGACCATCGCGTGCACAAGCACTCTGTTCTTCCCGCCCCATTGCATCTCGGGCAGCGTGGAAATCCCCCCGCCATTGGCTTCTTTGCCTCCGCATCTAGCAGATTCTTCACCAACAGAGCCCCCGCTACCACTCCAACGCCCTGCGCCACGGCTGCTGCTATGGGCGACATACCTCTTTCTCGATTAGATCGATTGAATTGGAGAAATTTGGGCGATTGGACGCGAACGAGCGGACGATTGATCGATGGGTCGGTTGCGCGAGAGAGAAAGAGTGATGGGTTCGATTGAATTGCTCGATTGCGTGCCCTTGCCGCGGAAAGAGTGATGGATTCGATGGAATTGCTCGATTGCGTGCCCTTGCCGCGGAAGATTTGTAAAGAACCCCTTTGGGCAGCCCCAGTTGACAGATAGTAGAAAATCTAGTAGAACGCGTGCGTATAGACGTGGGTGAGTTGGAACAGTGTTACGTATCCAACTCCTTCACAGCCACGAGTTTCCTGCGAAATATCTTGGCGGGTTCCCTGGTACGATTCCCGCCAGGAAAGATTTTAAGAGATCTGGGGATCTATTCCCATTTGGAGCAATTTTTGAAAGATCTGAGACATTTTGGGATCGATTCCCAGCTGGAGCAATTTGGAATTAGGGTTTATCATCTCGCCCATGGAGAAAAATATTGGGCGCCTGAGCTGGGGGGACTGGATTTGGGGCTTGATTCATGTCTTTCTCGACACGATCACGCAGCGCGTGTGGAGCTGCCACCTGCAACCGCTGCCGGAGATGCCCGCCATGGCGGGAGTGACGTGCATTGTTACCGGCGCTACCAGCGGGATCGGGCTCAATACAGCAAGGTATGGGGTTTCTGATGGTTCTGGGAGTGATTGTGAGGACAATGTAGGGAGCTAGCAAAAGCTGGAGCTCATGTCGTGCTCGCTGTTCGTAACACCAAGGCTGCCAACGAGCTTATCAAGCTTTGGCAAAAGGATCAGTGTGCCAATGGGGTCCCGCTTTTGGACGTAGAAGTAAGTTATTTTCTTTCTTTCTTTTCACTATTGTCTGATCTTCGCATCAATCTACAGGCACTGGAGCTAAATCTTGCGTCTCTAAAGTCTGTTCGACAGTTTGCCAAGGATTGGGAGCTCCAAAATCGTCCACTACACATTCTCATCAACAATGCCGGGATTTTCCATATGGCAGGTACCTTGAAAGTTTTCAAGGTGAAGCACATTTTTCCAAAGTGATCTTTTGTCCTTCGTAGGATCTGAGAGAGTCTCGGAAGATCGTCTGGAAGAACACATGCAAGTGAACCATCTCGCTCCATCGCTGCTAACGATGCTGTTGCTGCCTTCTTTGCTGCGAAGCGGGCCTTCGCGAGTGATCAATGTCAGCTCTGCTGTTAGTGTTTGGCCGATGAAAGTGTTCGAACCGAGTTTTTATGAGTCTCTTTTTTTAGATGCACCACCTTGGCTCCCTCGACTTTGAAGATCTCAACACCACGCCTGGAAAGAAGGGGTTCAACAGCACGGCAGCTTACTCGTCCAGCAAACTGGCACAGGTTCGGTTCGAGCTTTCGTTTTCCTCTTTAATCTTTTGTTTCTAGTTACATTTCAGCAATGTGCTTCAACGAACGCTGCCAGAGGAAGCGAATGTTGACATCATCTCAGTTCATCCTGGCGAAGTCATCACGAATGTGGTATGTAAGAACCCGCAAAAAAACCACGGTTTCAATACAAATCTTTGAATCTCAGGTCCGAACACTTCCGAAATGGCTGCAAGTAGCATACAGGTTTATACCGTTTTTTCTCTTCACTCCTTTGGAAGGTTTGCATAGTTTCCATAGCTTCTCTTCATGTCTTACACTTGATACTATCTTACGCAGGCGCTCGCAGCGTGCTTTTCTGTGCGACTGATCCTCATGTGTTGGAATACGCTCGAGCTATCAGAGCTTCGAACTATCCTAGCGCTCCATACTTCTCGTCCGCCTGTACACCAGTCAGTGTGGCCAAGCAAGCGATGGACCTGGATGCTGCGTTTAAGACTTGGAACAAAACTTTGGAGCTCGTAGGCCTTCCAGACTACTACTTCCAAAGGGTGGTCTCTGGAGTTCCTGGACAAGCCGAAACCATCGAAACTATAGACGAGGAAGATTAAGGTATGCTTCCATTTTGTTCTTGCAGTGCCAAAAATTAAAAAATTTCATTCCAGGAGATCGAAAAGCAGAACTTTGGCTTCTAAATCATATGCTCGAAACTAAAGAGTTTAGCTTCATGGCAAAAAGTGACCGTCAGATGTAGAAGATCCAACGGCTCACGTGTTAAAGTGGAATATCCACGTGGCGAGGTTTACGAGCGGGAAAATTTGAACTGTCTTGTGGGCTAGGGTTTATATTTCCATGGGGCATCCTGGGAGGACGCTGGAAATCCCGGTCCAGTCGGGCAAGGACACTTCTTCGTGCGCTCCCTGCGAGAGTGAGATCCAGGTGAGTCGATCGCAATCGCAATCCAAGCGCTTGCATTCATTCCTTGAAATCTTGGCTCCAGATCACACGGATCGGTGGAAATGGAACGCGGCCGCCGCAGAAGCCGTGCTGTTCTTCGTGCTCCTCCGCCGGGTATGAGATTCCACCCCCGACTCCCGCTCCCTACAACAGGGCGCTGCCTAACGATGTGGAATTTCCACTCCCGGAGCCCGTCCCTCGGCTGGATCTCATGAGCGCGCGCCCGACGCCAAACAAGAACACCGTCTATGAGATTCCTCCGACGCCGCCGGGAGCTGCGACGCCGAGCAGCAATGCCAGCAGAGACAAATCGGTGAGAGTGAGGGAGATTTCGGTCATCTCAGCGAAGCCGCCGCACGATCTAGACCGGATTCGTGAGGAGCATCCGAGCGTTCACATCGAGGTGGAGGAGCCAAGCGACATCACAATTGGTGTGCGTAACATCTCGGTGAACGGCGAGAAAGGCAAGGAGACAAAGAGAGATGGCTACGCGGAGAAGGAAGCTCCTGCCGAGCAGATGGCCTGGCCACCTTTGACGGCTTCGGAGAATTCGCTCATCGATTTCTCGCTCTTTCTGCTCAAGACCGCGAGATCTCGCGAGAAGGTCCGGCGGTCACTAGCCAAAGATCTGAACGAGAAGAAGGGGGCTGCTGAACCCGAGGAAGATCTGGAAGGCTTGCTTCGTAAATGGGAAGCCGCGCAGCTGGAAGAAGCTGCGGCTGCTAGAGCCAAGGAAGAAGAGCTGCTTCGTGCTTCTCCCGCGGTGCCGATGTTTCCCGGGATCAAGGAGCTGCCTTTGCTAAACTACATCAACGCGGAGGGGAAGATCGAGCCTCAGTGCGACCCCAACACGGCTGTCAGTGCGTTTGCGGTGCTGGACAGGCTGAAGAAGGTGCAGTACATCGGCATTGCGAAGAACCTCCGGAACAGTATGAGGAAGATATTGGGGAGAAAGCCCGGCTTTTGCTACTACTACAAAGTCTATCACTTGCCCAACGTGGAGAGCTTCCCAAAGCCGAACTATGTCAAGCAAAGGGTACGTTTCTACTGGTTTTTTTGCACAGATTTAAGAAGATTTAACCGGGAACATGATCGTGAATTGTCAGCTGTCTGTTTGAGCGTTCGTGTGAACAGTGGATAGAAGAATTGGGATCGCCTCCACCCGGGAATGCGGACGAGACGCAGAGAAAGCAATGGGAGCAGCCTGCCGAGGTTTCTGTGGGTGCAGTTATGGACAGGGGATCCGTTTTAGCGGCGGCAATCGAGAAAGCTAAGGGACTTATCCAAATTATGGTCAGCAGAGGTCTCAAAGAGGAGGTACGTAGTTGGCTCTATTTTTCTTTTCCAAAATAGATCACGTTCTCTATGCTTTATTCAGATGATATATGATCCTGCACTGATGGAGTTGGGACGGTGTGATGTTTTGGAGGTACGCTATTCTGTATCTCTTTAGTTGCTGATTCTCTAAGTGTAGACCACTACTCCGGCAGACGCTCCCAAAGGGAAGCACACAGTGGTTACAACGCCGTATGGTGGAACAGTTGATTACTTTATCTGCTACCACGATAAATCAAAGCTGAGCAATGGCTGGTTGTATGATGTAACCATCAACAAAGACAATCAAGAGACCAGGTGAGCATGCATGTAGTAAAGAAAATCATACATCGGTTGAACCGAGTTTATTGGTACAGGCATTTGATTACCTGCGGGAACAACTGTCCCGCCAATCTTTCAGAAAATACTTTCCTGGAGCTGATTATTGCATTTCTCCTGGTAAATCCATTGGATTTGAAGCAGTTTAGAATAAAAAACTCACACCTTGTCTGTAACAGCATCAAGGTGTTCCGAGAGACAAAGACTTGCGAAACGGATTCTCAATGCACAACTTTTCTGTGGCCGAATTTATCCAGAAGTTCGACAATTTTAAGCCGTGGTTCCCCCGCGTTTCGCCATGAAGTCTAGTGCAAGCTAGCATTTCACTGGGTAGGTGTTTTCTCTAACCTTCCACTGGCCGGCCGCTACAGCAGAACACTGGAGCAATCACGGCAATCCAAGGTCTTCTAGATAAATCAGTTTTTATTTTTTTGTTTTCTCAACTTTCCAAAATAATGCAGTCATTTGCACTCGAAGTGCACGTACACTGAACACTTGACGGCCTTCTTCTGGGTTCTGAACCCTGGCATCACCATGAACTCCAGCTTACTCTTCTTACAACTCTTGCACGGCGAAGCTGGATGCACAACTGGTTCTACGTAAACGGGATTGACGTCCATTCCTCGTCCGACTCTGATAATCCCAGCCGCCGGGTTCATCGAGTAAGCGAGCCGGTGCAGCAACCAGACGCCTTTGCAAGCGTTGATGAAAGCCGAGGTGAAGCAGTTCCTCTCAGCCGTCGTCTTGAAGATGATCGTCCAAGGAAAGAGACCCCACATATCGTGAGTCTTGTTCTCGCAAAAGTTGAGGAAGTCGGGCTCGAAGTTGGCGTGGGCCGGGTTAACAGCATCCGCGATATCCAGCAGCTTCATCCGTTGGAACTCCTCGAGCCTGGCAAGAGCTCGCTGGGACGGGTTGAGGATCTTGGTGATGCCAAAGTGGTCGAAGCTTTCGTTCTCGAAGCAGTGGAACAGGGCCTTGTTGATGCGAGACTCGAGAGCGAACGCCGTGTGTTCCTTCTTTGCAAAGACTGTCCTCGGTTCCAGATCTCCCAGAGCTCGCAACACCGAGTAGCCGGACATCTCCATCTGCTTCATGAAGACTTTGCAGAACTTCCGAATGGCCAGAGTCGCTCGCACGACCGTCATCTCAAGGAGGAGCTCGGTGGCAGTGATCTCCATATCCATGGAAACGTGGTCTACTGCCGGTGACGACGATCTTCGTGGTGGAAGAGTGGTGTTTCCCTCGCGAGACTTTATGGCTCCCCCGACGCGCTTCTCACTAAGGACGCAGCATTCTTCGCCATTTCCCTCGGTGGTAAGCGTTTCCTTGCTGTGGTTTCTCTGCCGGACTAACAGTGGACTCCCTTTGTGCCTACAGCAAATACCTGTGATCTCTCGCTCTTTCATCGCCACGCTTTGCAGCTGCTCCAGTTGCCACTCTAGCATGTCGATCGTGTCCTGCTTGTCAACCAGTGCCGATTGCTGCCGTTTGCTCAACTCCAGGAGCTCCTGAGTCGGCTGCTGCCGGAGCCTGATCGTCCTCGAGTTTGTAACTGGCGAAGAACTATGCTCTGATCTAGCAGCAGGCACTGGAGAAGTCGCTCGATTCCCGCAAGCGATGATGCTGGAGAGGATTCCTATCAAAGGCCGGCAACCCGTCGCTCTGGTACACAGCTTCTCAAAGTTTGCTTGCATCTCGTCGTCCTCACTCGTGCTGCTCTTGCTGCTTGCAGCCACTCGTCTTCGCTGTTGCTGTTGATTCTTCGCGCTCGGGGACACTGGAATCTCTTCGGCGATTGTTGGCAGCTGCTTGGTGGAGCTCACAGAAAACCTCTCCGCCATGGCCGTGTCCTCTTCTTCTCTCATGTGGAGGAGGATGCGCAGCGCTACCTTCTCCTTCCTTGTGGAATTCTCTTCACCATCATCCAAGGTAGACGATCTAGCAGTAGTTAAGAGGTTGGCGGGATCCATTAACTTCATCTCGTATTTCTTGCTGCCAGGCCTCTTGATGGAGTGAGTGTGGAGATGAACAGGAATCGAGGGAGATTCCTGGCGAGTAACATTTATGCGAAAGGAGACAAGTCGCTACTAGATGGCTAGTCGAACGGATTGGATTGTTTGGAATTCGAGGAAGTCAAGCTTTTCTGGTTGGAAGTTGGAAGTGCCCGTCTTGGCAGCCGTCTTTTGCTGGACAGGTACAGTAATCCTTCATCGCTCTTTTTAGAATCCAACGTTATTTTTCTCCAGAAGCCGAGCGACATCACTTCGATCACTTCGATCACTTGCAAAAGCTTTAGAAGCGAGAATGGTGGATGATGGAAGCTGTGACTTTCACGCAGCTGGCCAGCGAGATCCGGCAGTGCAGCGACGCAAGAGACTTTGATCGAGCCAGGCAGATCCACAGACAAGTTCTCAAGAGCAAGCATCTCCGTCAGGACGACGCCACTTACCTCGCGAATTTGCTGCTCGAAGCTTATGGAAGATGTGGGTCTGTGGAGGAAGCCCAGCGTCTCTTCCAGACCTTGCCACTACCCAACGTCTTCTCGTGGAACATCTTGCTCGAGGCATATGCCCAGAACGGGCATCTCGATCGCGCGAGAAGCTTGTTTGATCGAATCCCGGATAAAAACGTCGTCTCTTGGACCACCATGATCAAAGCTTATGGTTCTTCCGGCCGAGTGGACGACGCAAAATTACTCTTCGAAAAAATGCCAGTAAGAAACCTCGTCACCTTCACGGGCATGGTAAAAGCATATGCCGAGACTGGGCATATTCTCGATGCCAGGGAATTGTTTGATTCCATGCCCGAGAGGAACCTCGTGGCGTGGACAGTCATGCTTGCGGCATATTCGCAGACTGGGCATCTAGACGAGGTGCTTGCGCTGTTTGCGCGAATCCCGGAGAGGGAGGTGGTATCGTGCAGCATCGTGATCGGGGCATATTCCGCGAGAGGGCAAATGCGCGAGGCGCGAGAGCTGTTCGATTCGATGCGCGAGGGGAATGTGGTGACGTGGACGGCCCTGATCGCTGGATACGCGGGGCGTGGGGATCTGGAGGAAGCTAGAAGTTTGTTTGAGAGGATGCCCGAGAGAGATACGGTGTCATGGACGAGTATGATCACAGCTTATGCCCAATTGGGGCATCTGGAAGAGGCGAGAGCTCTCTTTGATTCCATCCCGATCGATCACCGGGATGCTGTGGTGTGGAATTCGATGCTCTACGCGTTCTCTCGCGATGGCTGCGTTGCCGGGATGATCGAGACGCTGAGGGCGATGCCACGCCCGGATCTTGTATCGTGGAACATCGCCATGGCGACGCTGGCAGAGTGGGGGATGGGCGATGACTTCGCGAATTTCTTCCTGGAGATGCCCGAGAGGAATGTCTTGTCGTGGACGAGCATGATCCAGGCGCTCGCGCGGCGGGGCAAGCTCCAATCCGCGAGAGACCTCTTCGACACAATGCCGGAGAGGAATCCCGTGTCATGGTCGACGATCGTCCAGGCCTTCGCCCGGAATTCGCAGGGCGAGGAGGCGATCCAGCTCGTCCTGGCGATGCTGCTCGAGGGCACCGCGCCGGATGAGATCGCCTACATCGAGATCCTGGCCGCGTGCGCCCACATTGGATTGCTAGAAACGAGCCGGCGATTCTTCCACTCCATCACCGCCGACCACGGCCTCGTCCCCTCGATCGAGCACTACAGCTGCATGATCCACATCCTGGGCCGATCCGGCCAGGCAAGAGACGCCGAGGAGCTCCTCCAAACAATGAGCCTCGTGCCGGATTCTATCTCCTGGACCGCATTGCTGGGCAGCAGCAACGAAATCAGCCGCGGCGCCCGCGCGGCCAGGAAAGCAGTGGATCTGGACGGAGAAATCTCCGCTCCATACGTCCTCCTCTCCAACCTCGCCCTAAAATGTCCCCAAGAACCCTAAACCTGCCCAGGAACCCTAAAATCCCCCTACATTTTCTCGAGGAGCCCTAATTTTCCAAAATTTTGGGGATCCAGCCAATTGCCAGCGAACTGGCATTTTTGTCGCCACTTGCATGCTGCCATGTGTCTCCTCACGACACGTCAAATAGGTTCCTTGGACAAGTGTCGCCACGTAGGGCGTTCTCGGGCTCTCAACAAACAAATCTTTTACTATAGCCTCTCCAAATCATCGAACAGCAAAATGGCCAAGAGGAGTGGCACTAGTGGTGCCAGAATAGCTCCTCAAAGCCCTTCTTCTAGGGCTAGGGCTTGGGAGATCGCGAGCGATGGCGGAGGGCAGCATTGCCAAGCGCTCGCGCGCCGATCGCGTCCCGCTCAAGGCGCTCGCGCGCGTCGCGTCCGTGGCCGCGGGCGTGCAATTCGGCTGGGCGCTGCAGCTATCGCTGCTCACGCCCTACGTCCAGGAGCTCGGGATTCCTCACACTTTCGCGAGCTACATTTGGCTGTGTGGGCCGATCTCGGGGATGTTCGTCCAGCCCATCGTGGGATTCTACAGCGATCACTGGGAGGGGAAGTGGGGGAGGCGGCGGCCATTCATTGTCCTAGGCGCGATTTTGGTGGTTATCTCGGTCTTGATCATCGGCTTCGCGGCCGATCTGGGTTACATTCTTGGCGATACTCCCACCAGGAGGCCCAGAGCCATCGGGATCTTTGTGGTCGGGTTTTGGTTCTTGGATCTGGCTAACAACACTCTCCAGGGTCCCTGTAGAGCACTTCTAGCGGATTTCACTGGTAAGATCCTTGTTTTTCTTCTAGTTCTAGCTTCAAAGTTGAGTTTTTATTCTTCCTGCTACAGGGAGAGATCAGCGAAGAAATCGCCGGGCAAATGCGTTCTTCTCGTTTTTCATCTCGATTGGAAACATTCTCGGGTTTGCAGCGGGATCTTATAACAATTGGCCAAAGATCTTTCCTTTCACAGAGACCAGAGGTTGCAACCGACCATGCGCCAACTTAAAGTCGGCTTTTATGATCGACTTGATCCTGCTCATCGTGACGACCCTCTTGAGCATTACAGCGGCCCAAGAAATCCCGTGGTCACCACTGACGAAGGCCCAGAAGCACGGTGTGAGTACTCCCACCACCCCGCTGATTCCCGACAAGCCAGATCCACAGTACGCCGATGATCCAGAGAACGTAAACGACGACGATGAAGACGAGGAAGAAGAATCCGAGGCCTTCTTCTGGGAGCTTGTGGGAACTTTGCGAGATCTTCCGCGACCAATGTGGTGCATCCTCTTGGTGACGGCGTTAACTTGGCTCGCGTGGTTTCCATTCACGCTCTTCGACACGGACTGGTTTGGAAGAGAGGTGTTTAAAGGCGAGCCCGGCTCCGCGACCGCGCAGATTTACGACAGGGGTGTCCGAATGGGATCGTTCGGGCTGATGCTCAACTCGGTGGTACTCGGGATCACGTCCATTGTAATGGAACCACTTTGCCGGATGCTCAAGCCGAGCTTCGTGTGGGGTATCGGGAACTTTATCATGGCCGCGAGCTTTGCTGCGATGATAGCGATTACTTACGCGATGAAGAACACCGATCGAGTAATCCCGCCGACAGGAACAACCATCGGTGCCCTCGTCGTCTTCGCGGCTCTGGGAGCTCCTCTTGCGGTACTGTTTTCTTGTCTTTCTCTTCGTTTTTCGTTTTGTCACTGAGTGTGTTTTGTCCCTATAGGTGACTTACAGCATTCCTTTTGCGCTGGCATCGCATTCCACGAACAACAGCGGAGGTGGCCAAGGTAAGTTTTTCTCTCTCGATTCGCGAGCTTGAAAGTTTCCAAAGTTCATGTTTTTTTTCTAACTTGAGAACCATTTCCACAGGCCTGGCAATGGGAGTGCTGAATCTGGCCGTCGTAGTTCCGCAGGTAACGAAAGAGCTACCGTTCCTCGCAATCAAAGAGTTGACGATCGAATAACTTGTTTTCTAATCTCTCTGCAGATCATTATCTCGCTCGGTAGCGGTCCTTGGGATGCGCTATTCGGCGGTGGAAACGTTCCATCCTTCGCGTTGGCGCTGGGAGCTTCTTTCATTGGCGGAGTTCTCGCGTTTTTAATCCTTCCAAGGCCGGCGCCAGAGTTTCGTTCCAGGAGTATTCGCCGTACGAGAAGCTCTCCCATACCATAGGAGAAAGCGATCACTCTTTCTCTATATTATTCCTATTGTTCTTTCCCTCTCCTATTGTTCTTTCTCTATTGTATCAATCATAATAAGCATTTTAAAATTTCTCTATATTATTCCTATTGACCTTCATAACAAGAGGTTTAGGGTTTTCTCCAGTGGATGGGCGGGCCTGGCCTATGGCGCGCTGTGGTGAGATCTGTGGCGAATTCCCGGTGGCGAGGAGGATCGCGCAATGCGGTAAGAGCGAGTGATTCCATTCTCTGGCCGCAGCGGCAGCGAATTCTGTCCGGGATCGAAAGCCATGGCTACGTTGTGCGATCGAGCATTGTGTGGTATTCTTCGAGCTCTAGTCGAGTGGAGCCATTAGGCAAGGGCGGGAAACAAGACGATCGGTCGTCCGCTTCGTGGATTAAGTCTTTTCCACTGTCGCTCCAGCCGTTTGCGTGCCTTGCGAGGTTGGACAAGCCGATTGGAACTTGGTTACTGGCATGGCCATGCTTTTGGTATGTAAGTTCTTCTTTTTCTCGATTTTTTTTGTTCTTGGTTTGTAAAGCTTGCTTTGCGTTCTCCAGGTCGATCGCTCTCGCCGCTCCGGCTGGAAGCTTGCCAGACCTGAAAATGCTCGCGCTGTTTGGAACGGGAGCGATTTTGCTGCGTGGTGCTGGCTGCACGGTGAATGACTTACTTGATCGTGATATCGATGGCAAGGTCTCTTTGAGTCCAGTTCTTTTTTGGGGGTTTTTTTTCTTGCTAACTTGACACTCGTGTATTTCAGGTTGATAGAACCAAACTTCGGCCAATCGCCTCTGGAGCATTGTCTCCAGCTCAAGGTGTTGGATTTCTCGGTTGCCAGCTTCTTTTGGGACTGGGAATTCTCCTCCAGCTCAATGATTTCAGGTAGAACAAGCTCTCCTTTTTATTTCTCTGTGTTTTTTTTCGCTGTGTTCTTCTCAACCTTGACAATATCAGCCGAATTCTAGGAGCATCGTCTTTACTCCTCGTAGGCACCTATCCCTTGATGAAAAGGTGGACATTTTGGGTATGTATTCTTTCAAGCTCTCGATCTCCAAGTCGAAGTAGAAGACGATGCTGGTTATTGTTTTTCTAAACAGCCTCAAGCGTTTCTGGGCCTAACTTTCAATTGGGGAGCGCTTTTGGGATGGTCGGCCATCCAAGGCAGCTTAAATCCAGCCGTTGTTCTTCCACTGTATTTGTCCGGGATATGCTGGACGCTTGTCTACGACACCATATATGCACACCAGGTACGCTTTTCCTTCCATTGCAATGAGCACAATGAATTATTTTCGCTTTTGTTCGTTCGCCAGGATAAAGAGGATGACCTCAAAGTGGGTGTCAAGTCCACGGCTTTAAGATTCGGAGACCACACTTGTCTCTGGCTCACGGGTTTCAGCGCAGCCTCCGTTTCTTTCCTCGCTCTGGCGGGGTACAATACTGGTATCGGTAAGTGCTCGCACCATTGCTTTTCATACTAAGTCGTAAAGCGCTCGCTGTCGCGATTCCCTTGTTTTTTTTTTTCTTCCAGGCTGGCCATTCTGTGGAGGCGTCCTTGGCACAGCTTGTCACTTCGCTTGGCAGCTCCAGACGCTCGACATCTCAAACAGCGATGATTGTAACCGGAAGTGAGTGGAGCTCTCTTTTTATTTTTCCAGAAGCCGCCTTGGCTGACTTGAAAGAATTGTCAATCGTGGTGGTGTGTTTATAGATTTGGATCCAACAAGTGGCTCGGGGCCATTGTTTTCGGCGGCATCGTTCTCGGCAAGTTGCAATGATCGACTGATTCCATCGACTGAATGCTACGCTTTAAGTTCCTCGTGAATGGTGGTCCTCCTGCGAGCACTCAAAGTTTCTCGAAAAGAAAAATTCCATGGCAGGCAAACCACGTGTACAATGAAATTATCGGCAAAGATTCGTGACGTGTTGAAGCGACGACCATTCCAGGTGCTGACGCGACGGGGCCCTGCCACTGTGGCGCGCGGACGAGGCCCCACGTGGCGTCCACTGTGGAGCAATGCGGTGGCGCCACGTGGCACCGTTTAAATTTCAAATATTCCATCCAGCGTCACGCTTTGCCCTAAGTGGCACTTTTTATATTTCCCCTTCTCTCTCGTCTGGGTTATTTCAAATCGCTCGCTTTGGCGCTCACCATGGCTGGGCGCTCCCATTCCCCCATTCCCCGGATGGTCTCTTCTCGCCCAATCGCATAGATCTCTCGCGCCGCCAGCAAGGATCCGGCGCATCGATCGGCATTGTGTTGGATCGATCCATCCGCGCAGTGGCAGTGAGTTGTTGGCTCTTTTCTGACCTAAATTTCGGCGCCCAGGGATGTGGGAGCGGTGGAGGCAGCAGTTCCGGAGGAAGGGGAAGAATCCGGATCATCTGGATCCGGTGGGGATGAGCGTCCTGCCCACATTCTCCACCTCCGCCGCCACCGGCGCCGCCAAGAAGAAGAAAGACTCCCGGAAGATCCGCCAGCGCCAACTCTTCCGCGTCTCCTCCGTGGCCGCCGGGATCCAATTCGGCTGGGCCTTGCAGCTCTCCCTCCTCACTCCATACGTCCAAGAGCTGGGAATCCCTCACACATTCGCCAGTTACATATGGCTTTGCGGCCCCATTACCGGAATGATCGTCCAGCCCATCGTCGGGTACTACAGCGATAACTGTGGGAGCCGATGGGGGCGCCGCCGCCCCTTCCTCGTCGCTGGATGCGTTTGCGTGATCATCGCGGTGCTCATCATCGGCTTCTCGGCCGATCTGGGACACCTCTTTGGTGATTCGATGGAGAGTACTACCAAGACGCGGGCCATTGTGATGTTCGTGCTGGGATTCTGGCTGCTCGACCTCGCGAACAACACTCTCCAGGGGCCGTGCCGAGCGCTCCTGGCCGATCTCACAGGTACTCTTGCTCAAAGTTTGGTTTTTTTCTTCCGGTTTTCTTCATCCTTTTAGGAGCTGCTTGGTTCGCCATCTTCTCTTAGTTCTTCTTCCTTCTCTGCTTTGGAGCTTTCATTTTTCTTTGGAGCTTTTCATCGTAGATCACTCCATGCTTGGCAGTTTTTTCTTTCCTTGATGATTTAGCATACTTCTTCTACTTCTGACTTGGAGTTCGTCGATTTTAAGAGTGTTCGCCAGTTTTACAGAGCTGGAGGTGACGAGCAGAGCATGGGCTAGTCCAAGCGTCCGCATGTACCATATTTCTCCTTCACCTCGTAGCTTAGAATTGCAAACTTTTCTCATTTTTTCTTTCAGTGGTGTAGTTCCAGGGATAGAGAGACGTCCTAGACTCTAGTTCGGGTTTCTTATTGTTTTTCTCTACAGTTCTTTCTTGCTAGATTGCCTTGTGTGTTGTTTTTGACATTCTTGGTTGTCTAAGATGCCTTATCGCTGGAACTTTTCCTGTGCAGGCCGCAGCCAGAAAAGAACGCGAAGAGCAAACGCTTTCTTCTCGCTCTTCATGGCCATTGGCAACATTCTGGGCTTTGCAACCGGTGCCTACGGCAACTGGGCCAAAGTTTTTCCTTTCGCTATCACGACAGCGTGTGACATGGCCTGCGCCAACTTGAAGTCCGCGTTCTTCCTCGACATCATAATGCTCATATTCACAACGCTGCTCAGCATCACGGCCGCTCCAGAGGTTCCACTCTCGGAGATCTTACGAGGCGGCGGCGTTGGTGCTGGTGGTGGTGGCAGCAGCAAAAACGACGGCAGCAACAGCACCAGCACGCTGAGAAGGATCCTCAGCAACAGCTCCGAGCGCCGGGACGTGGAAAACGCTCACGGCCGGCAAAACTTGAGCGACAGCACCGTCGAGAATGGCAAGCTCGTGGCCAAGCCGTGGAACAACCTCAGCGCCGACCATGGCAAAGAGCTCGAGACCATCCTCAGCAGCGAAGGCTTGTCCGAATCTCCACACGGTCCGGAGGTGTTGCCGACTTGCGAGACCGAGAACAAGGCCTTCTTCTGGGAGCTTTTCAGCACCATGAAGACGCTGCCCCGGCAAATGTGGTACATCCTGCTCGTCACGGCTCTCACTTGGGTGGCGTGGTTCCCATTCTTGCTCTACGACACGGACTGGATGGGGCACGAGATCTACAGAGGACAGCCCGACTCGAGGCTCCAGGCCAGAACCGATTTGTACAACAAGGGAGTGAGGATGGGATCGTTCGGACTGATGCTCAACTCTGTGGTGCTGGGACTCACGTCACTCATGGTGGAGCCTTTGTGTCGACGAGTCGGGCCGAGCTACTTGTGGGGATTTGCGGACGTGATCCTGGCGTTTTGCTTCGCCGGTATCGTCGGGATCACCAAGGTGGCCGAGAAAGGACGCAGTCCGCCATCAGCAGGTGTTTTGACAGTCGTTCTCCTCCTCTTTTCGATCCTTGGAATACCACTGGCAGTAAGTTTTTCGTTTCCTTTCTTGTGTTCTACTCTAGAAGAGAAGTTCTTCACGATTCAAGCACTCAAGCATTGGTTTGCAGGTCACGTACAGCGTTCCGTATGCTCTGACTGCGAGCTACACGAGCTCCATCGGCGGTGGTCAAGGTAACTTTCCCCTTGTTTATCACAGCGTTTAAGCTTTAGCATCGATTTTCTTCTCCAGGGCTCTCTATGGGAGTTTTAAATCTTGCCGTTGTCATCCCACAGGTAAGTTCGTCATAGCTTTAAGAAACTCTGGTACTTCTTGCGGATACTGATGGATCACCTCTCTGGAACTTACAGGTTATAATCTCGCTCGGAAGTGGGCCTTGGGACCAAGCATTTGGAGGAGGAAACATACCATCGTTTCTCGTTGCCTCGGGTGCCGCGCTGATTGGAGGAGTGTTGGCCATCTCCAAGCTACCAAAGACTCACACCAAGCGTGACCACAAGCCTCCACCGATCGAGGTCGAGTTTCCTACGCCAGGTATCCGACGAACACGAAGTGCTCCAGTCTTTTCGAAGATGGCTTGAGCCTTCGTCGCTCGTTTTTCTCTCTTTTTTTTCTTGTTGCCTGGCTCATCGTCTATAACTTTGTGTATGATGACTGTTTGCGCAAGTTTGTACTGCTGTGTAGCATATTGTGTATACAGAGCGCTTTCTCTCGTTCCAGATTTTCGTAAGGAAATCTGCCTGTGTAGAGAAATCGCTATATAACAAAACCTTTATAATAAAACTGATGAGCAATTATTAATATTTATTGTAACCATCTATTTAACATGAACCATTCCAGATAATATTCTCAAACAACCGACCTGGCAGCCCGACGTGGCAGTAGGGCATGAATGCTTGATCTGGAATAAAACTAATCTTGTGTTAATGAATTATAAGTATGTTTATAATTAAAAACTTCCAAATAATTGTTATGCCACATTGGAAGAGCAACTTGTTAAGACTTGTAGGAGCAAAGGATCGATGAGGTGTGTCAAGGATTATCTTTCAAGCTTAGCAGGGAGTGATGCCAAGGTTGTGGTTTATGGAGTGATGGCAAACCATTATCATAGGAATTTCTTACCATCCTTTTAAACCATAAGGGTTTCTAGTTTTTCTCCAACTTTTACGTAGCAATAGCAATGAAGAAGAGGAAGGGGGAGTTTGTGGACGAGGGGGAGAAGAAGCAAATACAAGGGGAATCCTCTCAGAATGATTTGGAGCCTAGGTCAATGACAGTTGAGTTGATGAATCACCAAAAGCAAGCCCTAGCCTGGATGCTGGAGCAGGAGTCTAGCGGCAGAAAAGGTGGCATCCTTGCTGACGACCAGGGCCTGGGCAAGACCCTCTCAGCCATCGCGCTCATCCTCGAGGCTAGCCCAAGGTCAATGGCCCAAGACCATGCAAGTCAAAAGATAGTCAGGGGTGGTACGCTCATCGTTTGCCCGGTAAGTGTCATCCGGCAGTGGGAGAGCGAGATCGCAACTAAGGTGGCGGCCAGTGCACCACTCTCCACATTCGTCTACCATGACAAACGCAAGGTGACGCCTGAGATGCTGGCATTGTACGACGTGGTGATCACCACGTACGGAGTACTGGCCAAGGAGAAGTGTAACAAGGTGAACAAGGTCTTTAATCGACGTCGTGCAGCTTGGATCGTGGAGAGGCAGTACCTTTCTGGTCCCCTGGGCAATGTGGAGTGGCACAGGGTGGTGCTGGACGAAGCACAATCCATCCGGAATGCCTACACCCAAGTCTCGCGCTCTTGCATGCATCTCTCCGCGACGTACAGATGGGCTCTCTCAGGAACGCCATTCCAGAACAACATCAAGGATCTCTACGGTTTCTTCTGCTTTCTCCGGGTCCATCCCTATTGTCACAATCGTAAGGCTTTCGACGAGCAGTATGAGGTGTATGAGAAAAGGGGCTACTCGCTGCAGCTCAAGGCGGTGCTGGAGAGCATTGTGCTCCGGCGGAACAAGAACTCGATCGTTGAGCTGCGGCTGCCGCCCAGGCTGGTCAACCGGGTGGAGGTGGAGCTATCGGAGCTGGAGAGAGAACTCTATGAAGATCTTATGGAGAAGTACGAGGCAAGAATCAGCGAATACAGCAGCAAAGGGACGCTGCAGATGAACAAGTTTAACATGTTGAGCATGCTGCTGCGACTGAGGCAAATGTGTAACCATCCAGCGCTGCTCGACAGTGACCACCTCTTCCAAGTCGAAGACGATGATCTCATCGTGGATGAAGATGGAAGTGAGGATGGAAGTGGGCACCAGCAGATGAGAGAGGCATTGAGTAAGCTCCAGCTCGAGGCCCAGGAGAGGCAAGAAGAGTTTGATCGCAAGGTGCAAGAGATTGGCCAGTCGGCCAAGCTGAAAGCCGCGATGATGGTGCTGGATATGACCCCTCATGGGGAGAAATCCCTCATCTTTTCACAGTGGACGTCTATGCTCGACCTGATTGAACCACAGCTGGAGGAAGCCGGGATCCAGTTCTCCAGGATCGACGGGAGCATGAGCACAAGAAAGCGAGTCGCGGCAATCAAGAGATTTAGCGAGGATCCAGAGGTAGCGGTAATGCTTATATCGCTTAGAGCTGGCGGGTGTGGGCTCAACCTGGTGGCCGCGACTCGTGTGCTGCTAATGGACATGTGGTGGAACCCGACCACGGAGGACCAGGCCATTGACCGGACGCACCGCATTGGTCAAACTCGGCCGGTCCACGTGACCAGGTTTGTGGTCAAAGAAACTGTGGAAGAGCGCATCTTACAGATCCAGGAGGAGAAGAAGAAGCTGGTGGAATTTGCATTTGGGGAGAAAAGCTGCAAGGATCACAGCCTCAGCATTGACGAGCTCACTTCGATATTTGTGCTGCAAAACCTTAAATCATAAATAGAGTATCGGTCTTTCGTTTTCTTAAACCATGCAGTTCTCCGAATCAATATAAGAGAATGCAACAATATCGATTCAGGACCAGTGACCGCTTTACAGGAGAACAGCTCATGTTCCACTATTGCGCTGCTTGACAGAGGCCGAGGTTCCAAAAGCTCTCAAATATGCCCCACTGCAACCAATTCTTCAATGAAGGTGATGTGGAGCTTCAAGAAAGCTCTTTTCGGTCAATTTCCTAGCTAGTGCGATACTTCCTCAGATTCCTGAAAGGATCAAGCAAGGAACACCAAAATAAAACCAGATTCTCAAACAGAACCTAGCTCGCCTGAAATTGTGAATCGCATGATTAAATGAGAAGTCACAAGGGACTAACAGCAGTGAGGACATTCAGAGATAAATATCAGTTTTATTTGGAAATACTAAGGATAACAATCTCAGTCATAAAAATTAAGGCTCTTGAAGCATTGCGACAAGAGAGCAGTAGCAGCAACGGCAATCACGTTCGCTGGTCGTAGGAAACCTCACCAGAGATCTATACTATGCCACCAAGGCCCTTCTAAAGAGTGCATGAGAACATCTTGTTAAAATTTTCCTTAACTTTGATTTTTGAATTGAGAGAGGGATGTAGCCCTTTAGAAAATGCATGTTGCGAGGTTCCCGAGTAGAACTTCGTCACTTAAGAGCATTTCATGCAATGCAAAAAATGCATGTTGCGAGATCGTGGCGCGTTCTTAAGTAGCCCTTCGTCGCTTGTAATCCGATAATCTTGGAACCTGGAATTCTTTTAAGATCCTGCCAGCCATCTTTTCAGTTCGAGACTGATCCACACTTGCGGGACTGTTGTCACCGAGTTCTTCTCTTCATGTAGTTGAATGGAGGCTGCTCGTGCACAGTGGGTGGAGAAGATAAGCTGAATGGTTCACTTCCTGTTCCTTCCTGTATATGCCATGTTGTTGAAGAGGCTGTAGTAAACCTGGCTTGCGGCTGCTTTGTATTGCATCACTGTCCAGATGGTGTAGGTGGTGATATGGAGGATTTCCTGGCTGCTGTGCTGGTCTGCTGATAGGTTCCATGGTCTAGCAGACTCTTCTCCATAGTCTCAAACAAAAGCAAGACACACTTTAGTTAATATACTTTTAGTTTGCTCTAGAAGACATATTTAGAATAGTCAAGTCTATTTTAAGATGTTCTTTAATTTAATGGTTGTGATTTTCTGTTCTTAAGCTTTTCTTTAGTCACTAACTCTTTTAAGTATTCCAACGAAAAATAATTTAATATAACTTGATATAAAACATATTTTCTTGAGTATCTATATTAAACTAAACATGAAAATTACCTAGATTTTAAAAGTGAACTTTTATGTGGAAATCTATGTTATTTGTACAATTGTAGTTGCACTCATTATTAATCATTTCTTAATAAATGTTTCAAAATTTTTTATGGAAATATTCTCAAACTCTTTTTTTTACAAGTGAAACCTATATATTTTCCAGGAGTATATAAAAATATTATTATATTATTACTATTATATAGAATTTTATATAATATTTTATTCTATACTTTTAAGCTGGTTTTAAAAAGTTTTAATATATATAAAGATGTGTAAATTGTTTTTTATATCAATATCCACTAATATGTTTCATTGAGTCTATTTTGCACTACTACACTTTAAAGTATACCTTATAATAATAGATGGTTGTATTATGCTCCTTAAATTGTGATTGAAAACAAAATTATAAACTCACTAACTATTATAAATTTATAATTTTAACTTAAAATAATATTAAACCATTGATAAAAATTTAACATTTGTTACTATGTAAATGTAAAAATTCTTTTTAAACTAAATATATTTATTTTGAACAAATATTTAATTTATTTTAATATAAAAAATAAGATGAAAATATAAAATATTATAGAAGGTGTGAAATTTCATCCTTTCTTTGCTTTTCCCAACAAAATAATATACAAAATTACAATCACACTAGTTGTATTTTACATATGAATTTTCATCCTTCAGTTGGTATTAAATTATTTTTAAAACTATTAAAAAAATTTAGAAATAAACTATTCTAAAAATATATATTAAATGATATATAACTCTGTGAGTGCTTGGGATATAAGAATAGATATATTAATTGGGGCTTAGACCCCTACTTATATACAAGAATGGATACACTAATTCAGTCCTAAATGGACAATCTATATACTATAGTATTATAATTAATGTATTATCTAGCTAGGGTAATACATGTATATATGTACATATATTTAAAAACTTTACACCATCCTTCCCTTTGAAAGATAAAAAAAGTGATGATAATAAGTCAGGGGGAATATCTAGAACTTTTGCTAGGCAATTATAAATTACCACAAGCTCCAAAACCATTAGCAAAGTTGCTAATAACTATGTTGAAATAAAACCCAAAGTTATGGTATAAATATTAACCAACTTTGAAATCTTGTGTGAGGCACAAAATCCCTAGGCCCCAAAGTGGAGCCGGAGGGGCACCACGTGGTAGTGGCCAAAGCGAAAGCCAAACGAGCGTAACACGTTTGGACTAAAAGCTCCACCTTGAAAGGTCGAGAGCAAGAGTGGAACTCCTAACAAAGTGTTTGAGGAATGAGCACGAAGCGAGCAATAAGCGAGGCTCCAAAAAGGGACCCAAAAAAGATTAACACATGACATATAAAAGTGTCTAAGATGGACCCGAGTTGGAGTCCGAAGTGGAGTCCAAGAAGGACCCCGAGATGGAGTCCAAGGTGGAGTTTGAGGTGGACTCGAGATGGATCTGAGATTGAGTCCGAGACGGACCCGAGATGGAGTCTGAGATGGACCCAAAATGGACCCGAGATGGAGTCCGAGATGGACCCAAAATGGACCCGAGATGGAATCCGAGATGGACCCAAAATGGACCCAAGATGGAGTCCGAGATGGACCCGAAATGGACTCAAGATGGAGTCTGAGATGGAGTCCGAGATGGACCCGAGATGGAGTATGAGATGGAGTCCGAGATGGACATCAGATGGAGTCCGAGATGGAGTCCGAGATGGACCCGAGATGGAGTCCGAGATGGAGTCCGAGATGGACCCGAGATGGACCCGAGATGGAGTCCGAGATGGACCTGAGATGGAGTCTGAGATGGAGTCCGAGATGGACCCGAGATGGAGTCCGAAGTTGAGACCAAGACCGGGACCGAGACCGAGACCGAGATCAACACCGAGACCAAGACCGAGGCCGAGGCCGAGACTGAGCCCGAGCCCGAGTCTGAGTCCAAGTCTGAGTCCGAGTCTGAGTCCGAGTCTGAGTTCGAGTCTGAGAGGGTAAAAGCCCAAAGCGTTCGTCTCCCAGACCCTAGGGGGTTTGGTGAGCTCCAAAAGCATAGTAAGGGGGAGGATTGCAGTGGAGCCAGTTTGGCCAGGAAAGGCCAGTTTGGCCCAGGAAGGCCGGACCCAATGTTGGGTGATAAGCTGCCCACTAGAGGACAATTGGACTTAGTGGTCGGGCCTGTGGGCCTTGATCCAGTGGCAATGTTGGTGAACACGGCCATGGACAGGAAGGGACTTGGTGGGGACCGAAAAGGAGACATTGGGGAAGGCTATTCCCCATGTCTGCAAGCATCCTGAGGATGCTATGGAGTGGATCTGGGATAGCCACTCATGGATGGATGGCCTAGTCTTTGAGAGACGGGATTGTAATGCAGGTGGTGTTGGACCACCGATGTGACCAAGGTGAATGGGCATGGTCTAGCGTAACGGGCGGGTATGTCAGTCGTACCTTGGGGTGTCGGTCATGGGATCGGACACGTGGAGCACTTGGACCAAATGCAAAAGTTGAGTGGCGTGGATGCCATTCACGGGGCTAGCAAGCCCCAAGTTCTGAATGGGACTTATGGAGGTTATGAATGAGACTCCTCTAAGTGGTCGGAGGTGCGGTTAAGTGACTAAAGTAGAATGGAAAAATTAGTCGCTTACAACTTGGTATCGGAGCTGTTCCTTAGTCCGACTTTTATTGGTGCTCAAGTATATCACCACTGGTGTTGGTAACGGAAGGTCTAAGGAGTGGGCCTATCCTTGAGGAGTAGCAGGTCGGGAAGACATGGCTCTCCATTATAGTTCATGTGTGAATTTGTAGACAAGGTGGTGGATAGAAAAGGGCCAATAATGGAACGACTTTGGGATTTTGGGAACAATGCAAGGTTTTCCTCATTGAGTTGAGGAGGTGATCCAGATGAGCGTTTGACTCAGCAAACTGGCTAATGTAGTTATGGTAAACAATTATAGTTGGGATCACAGGGAAGATAGAGACTCCAAAACAATAAAGGAGTCATAAGATTATCTTCACATAGTTGAGGCAAGTGTTCATAAATTTGAGACTAGAATTAATGACCGTGGGAGGTCAAATACGGAAGTGGACACAAGTCCTTGAAATGGTAGCCGGGGCTACCTCTAATAAATGCTGAAACAACCCAAGGAGTTGGGGGGTGTACTCAGAGGATGAGTTGGTATTCTCATCACATGGACAAGTGGTCCTAAGGGGCAAAAAGTTGCCCAAGAGAACAAATCAAGTGTCGGAAGAACACTTGCAAAGATGGTCCTTGTGAGCAGGACTTGAATACAAGAAGTTGTATTCCAGCGAGTTGGTATCTCGAAGACTAAGACCTCGCAGATCGTTGGATTAGCAAAGTCTAAAATGTTGGATGACTCAAGTGGAGTCAGGGAATGATCCTAAAGGATTTGTTGAAGCATTTGGACTGAGGTGTATGGTGCCCCATGAGGTATAGGGAGGATCATAAGATCCAAGTATGAGAACAGTAAGTATCTCATTGATGGCAGAGTGTGCTATGCTAAAGTTGTGGGAAAGATGTTCCCAGAAGAAAGCAACTTTGGCCCAGAGTTGGGTGCAAACATTATAGTGCGGTGCTAACAGATAGTTAGTATGAGGAACAATTATATTGGTCTCGGCAAAGACCTAGACACTAATAAATAGTGTCATAAGGATAGGCTCGTGGGGTTAATAGTGTGGAGACACCAAATGTGCCAAGGTGTGATACTTTGAGGTTATGTTGGTGGGTTTATAAAAACCCCTTGCTAAGGGAATCCCAATGGAAATGGGAATGACATAGCCTAAGCTGGAAGGCATGTGGTAGAGTGTGGTGACCAAAACAATGATGGAGGTGTGGAAGCACCAGCAATGAGTTGTAGGACTTGATAACTATGAGGCAACTAAGCAAAAAGTGCAAGATAATTGGTTAAACTGGTAGAAGGTAGCTACCCAAGACTTCTTAATGACATAAGTTAGATATACCCTTATAAGGGATAAATTGCTTAGGCTGCGAAATAATAAGTCGATATCGTAAAGGGGAATGCTCATTGTCAAAGAGGCCATCATTTAGGACACCCAAACACTCTAGAACACTAAGAGGTGGTGTTTGAGGTCACGAGGGCAATAGATAAGGCCCAAGGGACTAAGTCCCTAGTGAATGATGGATAGAAGGTGCTATCCAAATGTCCAAGGTTATGGAGACGGGAGAAGACTATCTACCCGAAATGGACAAAGCCAAAAATGGAATTTTGGCAAGGCTAGTGATGGGCATGTAAGGGCCCATAAGCAACAACGTTAATCCCAGTGTGTGGGATTATAAGGTGAGCATACCTTGATTGAGGAACCACTCCCTAGGCTATCTGGTCGGTTCATCCCTAAGAATACTTGTTAAGGCATAATAGAAAGTGCAAAGTTATCCTCCTAGTCTAGAGGAGAATGACCGAAGGAAAGGTGTGAAGCCAAAAGCAAGTAGTAAGGGGATAGAATCGAACTATAGGAATCGAAGAGCATGACCAAGGCTGGTTGTGCCAGCTAGGAGTGGAGAATCAAGTGGGGGCTCGAGGGTGTTATTGCTAGCAACCGTGATGCCATGGAGAGTCTAAAAATATGGAATTATCCATATTATACTATATGGCAACTAAAAAGCTTGCGAAAAGGGAAGCCTTAGCAAGCTAAGGGATAGAGTTCCTTCAAGGTTCCTAAAGACAATACTAGATATCTTAGTATCTAAAAAGGCC